CTCTGTTTGTGCCCGCTCACTGCGATACACATTTATGATTTTTTCTTTCTGCCTAATGTTCTGCCACTCTGTGTTACGCGTAATACCCCTTTATCGCGCTCGATAGCTTCCTAGCTAAAGCCGATATCAGGGACACTATGTCCTAGGTTCGAAGCTCAGCCATAGCCACGCTTCGTTTCGTGCTGAGAACCAGCTGAAATGCGTAACGGCACCACTGAACATAAAACTCGAAGTACGAAGAGGACTGCAGCATGAGCTTGACGTACCGCGACAGTCTGTTAATGTAAACGCTCCGTTTTAGCTGACTATGCGGGTAGATGATAATATATATTGCCTTAAAATTAATTAACGATAGCAAATTGTGGCATTTTGACAAGAAAGCCTTAAAATATAACCTACTCAATTATATACGAAAAAATGCATTGTGCATACGTTGATTCCTTGCCAGGACGAGCATAGGTCTCCGTTAAAAATGAACAAAATTTTTATTTTTGCAGAGGACTAACAATAACGCATGCTGCGAAGCCCGTGATGTAGTTTTTTTTACTTCTCATTAACTGTTTCGGAAACATGTCAGAATAATTTAAGTTTTAATTGTAAGTGGAAAATAAATGTCTCCACGATTGGGTATTTGTCACAGTGATCTAGACCTCCTTAAGCTGGCCAAAAAATACCGAGCCAAGACGAACTAAAACGTAGTTTGAATCTTACAAAATAAAGATTTGAGTTTATACTTCAATCTCAGAGAAAAATCCGTTTTATTACACTAAAAAGAATTGTTTAGAGTATTTCTATCACTGCCGATTTCTTCGCTACATGTATATACTTAAAAACACTGAACTTCGAGCTGGGAAAAAAAACTTCATTCTGGTCAATTTTCGCTCAATTTTATCTATCGGCGACATTTAAGCAGCTCCAGAAGCTAATTACATCCCATCCCACTTCCCAGAACTGTTATTAAACTACAGAAAAGTTAGGCTGTTCTAAGCCACACGACGCTGTCTTTTTGGCTAAGCTGGCCATACACCTGAAGACTAGTCGAGTTTTCCGTGAAACCACAAGCTTTCGTGCTTTCGAGGGAAAGTTCTACCTCGAGCCTTGAGTGCCTCTGATGAGTTAGGCATCAAGGAGAATGGTAGTTAATAGTACATTGACAAATAGTTTTTGTTGTGTCGGTGACTCTAGTAGATAACTCATTTCTACGATGAGGTTTTGTCGTGAGAACGAAACGTTCGCACGAAATGGTAACTTTTCTGCATACTCAACTTATCTGGACTCGTGCATTTTATATGAGTTGATACGGAAAGCGGCTCTAGCTACTTGGTGACAAGATGAGGTGAATAGAACAACAATAGCGCTCTCTTCGGTATTGAACTTCACACATCGAGAACGTAGTTGATACGTTCATTTACAATTTAGTTATCTTATTTCTGTTTCAACAAAGCCTCGTTAAATAACTGTGGTAAATAAAAAGTATTACCGTACCTCAGCCGTTCGACTGATTGCTACGTTAGAAACACTTCATCCTGACGATACCATTTCAATTCATACGAGTCGTTTTAAGTAAATAATATATGGTTTTGTAATAAGTTTAATATATACTCCCGTTCGAGTAAATTAAGTTATTGGGTGTCATATTTGAATAATCTTACCGCAGCTGCATGTTCGATCATCGGTGGTGATTTGTTTTTAAGAGCTCATTTGATATAAAGGCTAGCTACTAGTGCAGAAATAATTGCTAGATCTGTTTCGGTTAACGAAACAATCCAGTTGTGTTTTCTATTGTTAGCAAAGCCTTAAAGATCCGTCCATACGAGGGGTTTATTGATGTTTTTTAATAGTTTATTAGCAGTCTTCCTTCCAGAAAACTTCACCCGTTCGCGCAGCTGTAATGCATTGTCCGATTCGCCTAACTTCAAATGGCACCTAGGCTTCAAACCAAACGTATGCTAGCTTTACGTTTTTTTTTTTTTTTTAATCATTTTACCTATATGAAACGCTTCTCAACTTCCGGTGCTTGTGTCCCCGGTGTGGCGACACACCGAGTCCGCACATTTTCTAATATTGTATTTGTAAATAAGAAGAGAGGCTTTTCTCTTAATACTATAATGCTAATCAAAACACCGTAATTTTACTTAGAAACATACACATAAACTGTGATTAACTATATACCAAAAACGGGACCGTTCCGATGCCCAGCTGACGGCATTCGTGGACACAAGTGAGGTAACCGAGCTACAAAGATAATACTCTCTATTAATACTGAGGTAGCATTAGCCTAACGGACGTTGCTTTCACGAGCCTTCGGCCTATAACGACAAGCGAATCCTTGCCACAAACTGTTCGAAGTCTCTTATTGATGGTCAATAAGCGACAGGGCGTTGTCCCCATGACCATTTGAACGAACGGCCTCACTGGCTCCGCCTGCGCTTCTGTTTAATCATCTTTTCACTGCTCGTCTTTTACTGCTGGCATTACCACGACATGAATATGTCGACCTTTTAGGTGTGTACAGACGGCTCCCTCCTAGTCACGAGCCGTCGGCCAGAATTAGACAGATATACAAGTTTTGTTTTGGTTCACAAGTGCGGGTACTTCAAATTTGTCTACTGCTCTTCTTAACCAAAGCTAGGCTAAATGTAGGTTCCTCTCTGTTAGCCTGTAGCGAGATTTAAGTGAACGGATAGTTCTATAGTGCTATTAAAAACGAGATAATAACAATATTCAATATATGTTTTCATAAGAGCACTTTTTCTTTTACCGTAATCAACCGGAACGATAATGGCTACACAGCTATTGTGCAAAATGGTGCAATTTACGATGTACGTTCTGGATTCCACTTGGTATCATCGATAAGGTATACCGATAAAAGTTTGCAACGTAAGCAAACAAACGTTAGCTACAAAGTGTGGTTGCAGAAAAGCTTACGTCTGTATAAAAAAAAAAAGTACGCGATTTGGTTTTCTCCAGCATTGACAACGCTATCTTGAAGGTAACAAGTCGATCCTCGCGATAAAGTTCTTGTTCGTCAGAAGAGGTATCAAATACGAGTCATCCTCGGATGCGCGACTCGACTAAGGTAGCTATCACAGCGGTAGGTGTTCTTGGTACCATAATGGTACTGATGTCGCTCAATCTGAGATAGTCGGCAAGGGATAAAAGAAAGGAACCGGTCATTCCTTTCTGCTGTCTGGCACGGGCCCAAATACAAAAATTAATCTCCCACCCACAACCTTCTTTCAGCAGCTTGCCCGTCAATCGTCGGGAATCAGCAATCGATTTCTACTGCGGTATAGTCAACCGGGTCGAACTTCGCACCTCGGCCTAATCGAGGCACAACGTCATCCACTTCCGAGTTCTTCGATTTGGGATTGTTAGTTGCTGTTAAGTCGAAGCTGTATCTATAGAGCAGTATAAAAAGTGCGAAACTAAGTCTGAAGACAGAGCGAGGATCCGGGTTCGTTGCGACTACCCAGCTCAGCCCGACAACGACTGTCTACCCGAAAGCATACCTGAATCTCATCCCAGTGAATACGACAACTTCACACGAACCGCACAGGGCGCTATACTCGCCAATATACATACACTGTAGCATCTTGCATATAAGGTGCATGGCTCCAGTATATATGTATATACACAATCCGTAGAAATCTACACAGAACATGTAGAAATGTTTGAAGGTAACGCAAAGCCAGCTGGGTGATCTGGCATTTCCAGTACAACGTTGTATTTCGCGCCAGTCCGGCCCATACGGTCCAGACCAAGCTAGTCGTTTAGATATCGCGGACCCCAGAATATCATCAAAGGATTCCTTTACCTATTCTTGAGGCAGTGAACCACCCCTGAAACGACTGCAATTCAGGGAGGCTCATAGAATGGTCTCAGGTCTTTGTCAGCTCGTCAACGGCTCCTGCAATAAAGCAACAGGACGCAAAGGACGAGCGGTCGACCGGAAGTCGCGTGGGAGGCTTCGTGGGTCTCCTATGCCTCTTCCCGGGCGAGTGAGCGGGCGGGCGGGCGGGCGGGCGCAAGCCTTTGCGAGGGGATCACTTGCTTGATCGTCTGCCTGAGAAAGACAACAAGGAGTAGTAGTCAGCTAGTCGGACTTACTTGGCCGCTTGCTAGTGCTTACTGGTGATGATGGCTAGAAAGATCGATGAATGTGAGCTGAGAACGAACGGTCACTCGAATTCATTGGCAGAACACCTATGTAATGCTGGTGGTATAACTATGCTGCCAGCAGCTGAACGATACTGTTAATAATGAGCATGTCGATTGTTACGGATTGATTTATCGTCACCCCTGTCGCTAGCCTTCCCCAATCTCCGCTTGTTATTCCAACAAAAACGCGACGACTAGCCAAACATTTCAGCTATTTTGAGCCTTAATTACATTGAAAGAAACAAAGACAGAATGACGATACGGGCCGTACCATTTCAGTCAGTCGTATATAGACGACTATAGCTGAACATGGATGCGCAGTCGGCTCCGTGCTACTACGAAGGATTGTCCTCGAAGCGAACAGGAAGTGAAGACAAGAAGGACGACGCTTGAGAAGAAACGATACCTTATTTTGTAGAAAGGCGGCAGACGTCGAAGCAAGCTAACAACAACTTGTCGTAGCGACGTATCCTAGCAGCTGATAGCAGAGCCAGTTACAAAATGAATTGCCTAGGAGTCCTAATTTACAGGACACACTACTGGGTGCGAGTAGGTCAGAGCAGCTTTCCTGCAGCCATGTGAGGTGTGAAGACGGACTGATTTGCATCGATATTGATTGTAATCCACATTTCCATTTTACCCGTGGTAATTATTGAGGTGCCTTACTCAGTAGCACGACGCCCGAAACAGTGGCCGACATCATATATTAGAAAGTATTATCATTAGTCCAAGAGAGAAGCGTTAGCACTCACCATGCAAACTCTTCCACTTGGTGCATATTGTAAAACATGTATTAATATAATATTAATGTAATATGTAATAACAGTATTGTAAAAATGTTCACCTGTAGAAAAAATACATCGAGATTTTGATGTTTTTCTAATCAACAGTGTAGCTCGCTATGAAAGCACTATGCAATGTGTTTAAATTGAAGTACGATGTCGACGCAAAAGAACTTCGCTCAGTTTATGATAAACACATAATTATCAAAAACAAATCATCACCTACGTACCGCTTAAACGAAAATGTGTTGACATTTACTAGCACAATAGTAGGACGAGCAGCCTTAGGCCCAATATACTAAATCGACGATAAAAATCCGTGACGACTATCTGACGTTCGAAAGTCGGCGTGTGCGTATATCTGGACAGAGCGTCTTGAAAAGAACCATATGATACTTTTCTCAAGGCCAATTTTCGCCTCTGATAACAGCGCGTTTATACTAGACACGTGAGCACCGTGCGTATTTCAAAACTTCACGATAGCTCTTTGCAAGGAGAATCGTTTAAAACAATAGCAGATTCAAGTTGACGCTGAAGCTTTTCTGATAGGGTCACATTTTTGTTAGAGGTAGATAGTAGAGCGCAAGTCATTCACACGAAATGGTCCATCTGGTCACAATGATACCAGCACTTAGTGGGTTGTTATATCATACGCTTATGTGGATATATATTGTATCCAATAATTGACAATGATAATATGGGAAAAAAACGCTATTTCTATTATCTGACAGCGTAACATCTAGCGTTTTGGCCCTCTAAGTTGTGAATTGTCAATCTTGCAGAACAGTGGAGTTACAGAACTTTCCCTAGTTCGCTAGATAGCGAAACATGAATAACAAGGAAAATTAAGGGTGGCAGCTTATTGTGCAAAGATTCAGAAAAGTTCCTGCGTCTGCCTATTGCTGATGGGTCCGGTCCCTTCAGCTTGGCTAATGCCTTATCGTCAACTCAGCTTCTTGCTCACTCCCACAAAAACATTCGCATTTTTTCTGCTATTTAGGTCACCAACAAGCAACCCAAAGATCGTCACTCATCACGGGGATCATATACAGACCACTAGCTATTGGGAACAGACCAATCGACAAGGAAGACACAACATCCGCGATATGCTTGCATATAGCATCCTGTACGCATTAGACATCGAGGGTTTGTCGATCCCCAGACTAGAGATTGAAGGCAGCTGATAACAAAAAACGTTATTATTATTATTATTCAATATTTTAGCAACTCGCCCACACCGATCATAGTACACAAGGCCCGACGATGGACACTGTGATGTTATTTGAGTTTTGTAGGGGGTAGACGAGTTTTGTCTATACCGATAGCATACAGGGATGCGGACAACGACGGCATTATTCAGTCTAAGGATTTGCTTATTCGGTACTAATAGCATGATTACAATTCAAGAAAAATCGGGAGTGCCCAAAATCCGACGTGCTGATACTAAATAAAGAGAAAATTATTACCACATGCGAACTTCATCGGGTTTTAAAAGCCCAGATTCGTAACGACTCGCGTCTGTCTAAAGAAAAAGTAGACGTGAGTTATTTGTTTTAGTCCACAGATGATAATAATAACGTAACAATTGTACTCTGTTTGTCTAGTCCGACAGCGCAAGCTGTGTTCTTGATAAACCTTTGCTATCCATAAATGAGAAGAAATATCGTGCACGAGCTTTTTACCAACGATTGTAGCCAAGGTTACTGGCATACGAAATCAAGTACTTTTATCATTTCTTCCTGCCCTATTGATACCCTTTTTTGATTTTCTACGTATAGTCTCTACGATGCGATCCGTGGCACCCCCTATGTGACAGGTAGCTTTGTTGCCATCCTCCTCTATTAATGTGGCGGCTCTGATATGGAGTTAGGTGGCTAAGCAGATAACGTTAGGGTTCCCCTGTGACCAGGAGCCATCTCCCCCGTTTGAGAGAATATAACCAAGATAGGGATTCAGTGGGATTCAATAGAAAAATCGACTGGAATCGAGGGAGGCTTGTGCACGTCTGTATTACCAAGCACAGCCCGAACTGTTTGTGCTCCAGGTAGAAATGTCGCTGTTGATGTTACTGCTTTGTGTAATACCTTTTGCTAACGCCTGTCAGAATATGCATCATACCTAAGCACCGTATGCTCTTTCCTCGTGTTCGTCCACGCATTCTCATCGGCGAGTCTCGTTCGTCCCTCAGGACGACACAGACAAAGCGAACCTCACACGAGTGGTCACAGGACGTCAGCCGGACAGGCAATTTGCCAGAGCTCGCCATCTTCGGCGACAGCGAACGAGGTCCATCCCGTCGTATGTTGTTGTATTGGCGGCTTAAGTCGAAAAATGGGGGCAGCTGTGTACTCGTGAAACGAGGGCGGAACGCAGCAGGGACGACGACAACAACAACAACAACAACAACAACAATAATAATAATTGAGGTTCGATGGACATTTCCAATATGCTGTTGTCCTCATAGACAGCGCTTGTTCTTGGACTTTTCCTCAATGGCAGAGAAGTAAGTGAGCAACGCTACCGGTCGACATTACAATACGCCTGATATGAGCCGGAATGGGACATTGACTGACAATATCCGCATCTAATTAGAGTATATGTGGGTTAACAGCTTTCGGTAGCTTTTGAACATCGGATTCATCAGTATCGTGCACGGTGTTTGAATCCTAGAGCTTGAGCCTTTCAAGTTCTTATGAGTTTATCCATTTTGAACCAATGTACACACACATTACAGAAGTACAAGATTAGAAATCACTAGCAGAATGTGTGGTTTTATGACGCTGATGCATCTACCGATAACACATTGCCGTATTATATGTACTACTCTATTGTGTACGTCGTATTGAGTCACGGACAGCCTTTTCCAACCTTTCTACCAAGGATGTTCATTCGTTCTGTTTTGGCTGCGAATCTTCTTATACGTCCCGACCAACAGCCAAACGTATCTGCCTGCCTTACGCACTCATACGAAATGGCCGTGATTTTTAAACACCATTAAACCTGAACGACGTTCAGTCAGTCTGTAAGGTCGCTGTGTTTCTAGTCGCAGAGCGGTTCGACAATGCGACGACTAAGCACTAGAACTAATCAAGGAAGCCATATTTGAACGGGATGTACCAGGTGGAGCGCGAGTCATGATTCTACTTAATATATATATAGTTAATATATATACTTAACATATATATATATATATATAGTGAGTTGCGTGCACTAACCCAGCATCGTTTGTCACAGATAAGAATGTTAACATGAGTTTGAAATATAGGCAGGTACTGTTCTATTCTATCATCAGCTACCTGTTGTATACGTGTGATAATGAATTTATATTTTGTGACACAAAAACAGATGGATATGTTAGACTACATTGTCGTGAGTTCTTAGTCATCGCTCTTCGCGAAACACTTGAAAGCAGTCGGGTGGACGATTGAGACCATAGCGGTGTGGGTGGAGCAGATTGTAACGCCATATTGAACTGGACTCTTCTTAGAGGGGTGGAAGGCGGCTTGTTCTGCTCAAGGTCGTCTCACCAGAGTCTGAAGTACGCAAAGTAAACTTAAGAGGAGATTACAGATAGATTATATCAAGATTAGCGCCTCTTAGCGACGACATTGTGATGACAGGCTATATAAACACCCCGTGTAAAAAATTGACGCTTTTCAAGCTTTCTGGTCACCAGTTTTAACTACATTATCTTCCATCAGCGATCATCCATTTGGCCAGCGCAAATAGAACGTGCGTTGGCTAGTAGCACCAGCGGTATCGCAAACACAAAGCGAAAAATTGACAACTATGCGCTTCGTACTTTTAGTCTCTTTCTGTTTCTGTATCGGCAGCGTCCATCTTCAAGTGCATATACCGTACCATGAAACACTATTCTATCGGGCGCTGATGCGAACCGTGTCTTTGAATTTCTCAGTATTGCTTAGTAAGTTTCGATTCCCGCCAATTGCGGTCAGTAAACCGTTTGCGAACGATCTTTTGTTAATCTGGATGTAACACAGTTCTTACTGCGTTAACAGAAGATCGTTCGCAAACGGTCTTCACGCATAAATTGCGCGCGTTAGAATAGTGATAACGTGTAGAAACAGTTAAACGTACATCGCGACCTTACGCCACATCCGTCCGTACAGGTGACAAGGCTATGGGTTGTGCGCGGCATATGCTGAAGGATATACTGTGCCGGAGACGTCCTGCAGAGTCAGGCGACGAGGATAGTGAATACAAACGTAGTAACTAGATGAGCATATGCTGACCAGGTAAAGGAACGACTTTATTCGCTTGGTGACTACAACGATGATATCAATTAAGCTATATGAATATGTGTGTGCGGGTCTACAATGGATCATGATACGCATTGACATTATAGATCAAAGATCAGCGCCATATACGAGTTCGAAACATCACTTGCCTCTGTTGCTGATCAACACGGATGCATTAAGTCGCGATAGTTACTCGCGGAACGACACTCCCTTGTGATGTACCTCGAGAGAGCAAAGATCCAGTCGGCAAACGTGAATGATCGATGATCAGTTTGTAGTCGCCCGCTCTGCGCCGATCGCAGCGGGGTGAACCGCCCCTGACTCTGTTTAAAGCGCCTCGTATAGTTCCTACGGTAAGTCGTTAGTAGAATGGTTGGTTATCTTGTCCGCCTCGACTATTTGTGTTTACTTCCTTATGATCGATGCATTTTTCCATTCTGGCATCGTTCTACCTATTTTATTTGCTAATGCGGCAGTACCTGCTGATAACAGTACGGAGATGCTTTGTACATGTATGTAACGCTGTTTCGAACTCATTTCTGTTGGAATTACGAAAGAAATAAATTGAAAACAAAAGAAAAAAGAAGCTTTGTCACGAGGTGCGCATGCGACGCAGACACAGCCTTCCTTCCCTAGAATTTCTTAGGAGCACTGAAATGGGACTGACGCTTACTTCGTGTAAATATTTGTGGCATATACCCTACAGACTAACAAATACTATAATCGAACAAATTTTGTTAGGCGCGAGCATGGGTCAGTTGGTTCGAGTGAACCATTAGTGCGCTATCGGAGCCTCATCGTAGGCAGATGAACGAACACGCATCCATTGAACCATGTTGCTACCGCCGTCTCAAGTGTCCAAAAACACTCTCAAGATTCGAACATCGATTCGTAGGGAATGCCTCCCAAAGAAGAAACTCCCGTCACTCACTGTCACTAATGTGAAGATATACAATTCTCTTGAGTTCGATCTCGATCGACTGCGTAGGAGTGATATTTCGGTTCTGAAGGATAAGTAGTGCTAGCTGTAAGTGAGCCGCAGCTGGACCCTACAACTCTGCAAAACTATGCAACGAGTGGCGCCTTCAAGTCGACTGCCGTCCAAGGCCACGTGGTCAAAGACCAAAAGAAATCCTCACTTAGTTTCAGGGTCATTTGAGAGCAGGTAAAAGTTTGCTTCGATGAAAACTAGCCACGAAAGTAAACTGCCGCCAGCCGCATAGCCCCGGCCTACTAAAACTGTTCATGTTCACGTAGTGTTAACGAAGAAGTCTATTTTCCCCTAGTTTTTGATTGATTTTAGCCTAATAGGCTAGTTTATCGTACTCTGTGCCGGGCTCAATTGCAGTACGACGCCGCTTCGCGACGAAACAGTTAGAAATAGATGAGCAATAATGATCTTAGCTCTATGCTATGCCACCGAATCTTTGGCGGTTGTGACCCATCTCGACGCCTGTAACGAGTAAAAATGAGTCACACGTATAACAGACATGCCCCACTTCTTATTGTTCGTAAAAGCTGCACCCCATCCAAGTTTCATTGGGTCAAATTATGTGACACACGATTCAAAGTCGTGTTTATATCTGATTCGAAATGAGGGGTAGAAAAATCGCTTAGGGAACGGGGGGTAATTTTACATTGCGATCGTGAAAGTACAGCAAATCAATGCTGAAAATAGAGATATTTGGTTGGAATACACTATACTATTTATATCCAGTGCATTATCTCTTGAAAGCTTGGGACTCATTTTGCTATAATCTAGTGAGATATTTCCTTTGCACGACCACAAGCAAATTCTCTACCATATATCTTAGAGGTTTAATAGAGTTTCCTTGCTAGAAGGTTACTCAGTCTTCTTCAAAGAATCGTTCTAGGTAATATCCCTACGCCCTACAGGTAACGTCTGTCTCTTGCCTGCAGCCAGAAACGCCGCGAAATTGAGCCATGGCAATCTGCAACAAATTCGATTCAGGCCTTAAGCGCCTACGACGCCATTCCTGAGAAACTGCACAATAGACTACATTTAGCCTCTCTAGAACTCTCCCATCCCTCCCTGCCTTTCTCCACTCCTCTCTGCACTTCTTCCTCTTGTCTTCGTCGCTTCGAGAAGAAAGGGTGCACAGCACACTCGATTTGTCCGTACCTCTGACGCTCGCGTCTGACCAGATTCGATCAAACATCTCAGTTGAGTCTTTCGGCGATGGGGAGAGCGGCCGATAGGAATGGTTCTCCTGATCGCGCGCTGCGCTCCTTTCTTTTCCGTCGTCATTTTCTCTTCACTTCCGCTTCCGCCACCAACGTCGTTTGCAACGATCTGCGCGAACAGCACTTCTTCAGCGTCACTGTCGATAGATCGACCTAACTCTCTTGTCTTCTTCCTCTACTTTTTGGCAGTGGTTTGCCTTTACCACCGATCGGGCCGGTGGGTAGAGGCTCTCGTGCATATTTCTGGATGCATTGTTTCAAGAAAAGAATGTTGTCCACGCTTCGCTTTGCCAGCGTCGATGTCTAGTCTCGTTTAGGTCTGTTTTTCCATGACGTTTTGTATTTATATAGGCGTGCCACAAGGTTAACTTATAGTCGTGGCTAAGCCTTCGAACTGCGTAGCACTCATCTGTGACGATTTGTCGCGCTTCTCCTTCTCACTGGGAATAGCAATACCAGTAAAACAAGGCTAGTTATCAAGGAACAAGGCAAACCTTTTAGTGTACCCGATGCAATTAGAACAGACTAAAGGGGTCAGTGGCAGATTTTTTGGTAACAATTACAATCAAGTAAAAGCCCGAAAATAACGAAATAGAAAAAGAGCCGGCATAGAAAACAATGTGCCAGGATCGACGAATAGATGTTATCAACATATAATGATCATGCACAGCCAAGCAAGCCGCTGCTTAGTATGGAAACTGAACAATACAAGAAAGTCTGGAAACAGGCATAGAAGTAAAATCTACCTAAAGTGAGGAATACCAAAATATATTAGTGCCTGTAGGAATGGGCCGTTAACAATCACTTCGATTTCCCTGCGCGCCGAGAAGTTGTAAAAGCGGGCTTGAAAGAATTTCAGCACACGCGCACATTTCAAAATTTGTATAATTGATAGGGTAACCTATGAGCCATCAACATTGGCCAAAAAACCTTTATTTTCAGTCAGTTTTCCTCTACTGACGTTTGCTCATATGTTCCGCTGTCGCATTATTGTCAACTCATTATATTTAATATCTTGTCGTAATGATCGTAAGTATCGTAATGGTATTTTTCAGTGTCTACCACATGACGCTCAGTTCCATAGCTACCCAGACAAGCCGGCAGTAGTAAGCCCATATTTCATTCTGTTTCTAGCCCGCCAATCTGCCTAGTCAACGTTGTCCTTCTCTGCAAGTACAAGTGGAAGATACAGTTTCTTACTTAATGCTGGTAAAAGTAAGTACAATTATTCTTCCGTTGTGCTCTATTATTTTACCTATAAATGGAATCTCATTGTTAGAGCAACAGAGATAGTTTTTGTAAGTAGCCATGATGTATCTAGTCTGCCCATGAAGTCAGTCTGCCTATTGGAGTAATCCGAGGCCCCTTAAATACTGTTCGTAGAGTACTTTATATCATAGCCCATCCGGAACCTAGTGTTTTTTTTTTAATTTTGTGCCTAATCACGGAGACTGTGTTTCGGTGTTTCTTCCTTAAGATGTTTGGGATGTCTTACTGGCAACATAAGCACTAAATGCACAATCGCACTTGCTGCTAGCCTTATTCAGGACGAAGGGAACTGAAAGGGGACAGCGGAGGCTTCACTACAAATCGTATTTGTGCTAAATACGACCTTATAAAGCATTAAAGCCTTTTTACAGTACGATGATAAATATCCTCGATAAATACGTGACGTATCGTTGATTTAAATAGCTTATATCATTAACATAACGGAGTATCTGTTTCGAAAGCATACGTTAATCTGCTGCTGTACCACGAAATAAAAATTTGGTTACGCTATTCATTCGGTCGCGGTAATATGACAAATATAACCTACAAATAAATAAATAAAACTTTATTTACACAACAGATTCCATGGGGTCATCATCGGCTGTCAACTGGTTCTACTGTTCCGAAAGGATTAAAGCTAAGAGAAACCGACCCAGCAGTGAGCTATGGTAGAAGAAGTCTAAAACAATTCCTACTAATAGTCTGCGGCCCTATTGATAAACAATTTATGTCTAGCGGGCATAAAAATTTAATTCGTCTTCTCAGCCAAGTCACTACTGGTATATCCGATTTGTATTCTTTACTGCTCTGTGCGTCTCTGCTAGTAAACTACTTGTTTTGGTTGACAAGATTCTATTCCATCATTTAAGATATTAGTTCTGGACAATTTTATTACGAACTACACGCAGGTGCTTATATAATTATCTGTTCAATTCGATCATGAGCTAAATTCATCCGAAACTTTTTTTTCTTAATTAATTAATTAATTAGGTTTTCTTAATTTATCTTAATACTGGCAATAATAGGCACCGGTCAACGGCTATCGTCATATGGTATATGTGTATATGGACGGATGATGATAGGATAACCTACGATTAATTTCACTCCAAAGATTTAGCGACCGTAGCTTGGCTTAATTGAAATCATCGAGACATATAAACATGACCGCAACTGAAACAGAAAGTGTTGTAAAAAAAACTGGAATGAAAATGAATACCGTTCAAGGAATAGAAGAGTCGTAGAAGTTAAACAAAACAGCTTAAATATATAACCTAATATAGAATTTTTCTTTTTTTTTTTTTTTATTAGGAAGTTCTTATTTGGTAAAACGAAGTGTGATTGTGATAATAACTATGAGTTCATTGAAAGCGTTCGAACATCAAGCTATAAATTTCACTACCACAGAGCAGGAAACAAACAACAGTATTAAAACGCCAACTCTACCCTAAAAATGATCTGATAGAATCTTCAACGCTGAGTTAGGGCCAGTAAGCGGAAAAACCTTCTAGCAACATTTTAGAGAACTGTGAATATAAAACTTTCGGTTATCATTCACCTAAGGCTTACTTATAGTAGATTTGGATTATTTTGGATTCTATTTTGACCCATCTATGTCTCAAATAGAAATCTATGGGAACATTACTAAAGCCAACCAGCCCAGCGGCTAGAATTGTCTTACGTGAATTGTGCGGTTCTTATAATGGCAGGACGATGAGGTTTAAAGTTGTAGGGAAATTCAAAGCTTTCTTGAAGACAAGTGCGTTCTGCCTGTTCCTAGACTCATTCTCTTTTCCTATCTGTAACGGGCTAGTTCGCTTCTCCAAATGGGTCACGGCTACATATGCTTAGCAGATATACACACGTACTCACACCACCTGTGTTGACAACGTATTCTGTAGCCGTTTTCTTACGGATCAATTAGATTTCCATTGACGAATATTGTTTCATTCATCGACACCCATTACGAGCAATATCACAACCAATTACTGAACATATACCAGTCAGCGTGACCTTGGAGAACCCACCCTGTGCGGTATGGCACCTTAGCTCACGTTAGTCGATATATCGAGATCTACCGTTTGATTCATAAATGTTCAATATCGGTTCGCCGGTAATAATGCAAAACAATAAACGGACCTTTCTACAAAATGGGCAAGTTTTAAACAGTTTCAAATCTGCAGTTAAATGGCATAATGACACAATTATTTGAAGGTACTACAGGGATATTCTGTGCAGTAAGTCAAAGATACAAATAGCGGAACTACTGAAAAATGTAAGTAGATCAAATGACCTTAGTGTATATTGAAACGAGAATTTCTACGGTCAGGTTAAGTGTATTCATAGCCTTTGTTCAAAACGTGTTTTAAAAAAAAACTCTTTCAGCAGACGCCATGCCGTCCTTGTCAGGGGCGTAATGCACATAGTAATACATTTGATGCTACTGTAAGTCACTGGCTCGCCCCTCTTGGAAATCCTACTCGCAATTTGCCAGGCAAGCTTCCAAACTTGATCATATACCTAAAGAGAGCCAGTTAATTATAATTTGAATAGGTGTTGAACTTTTTTACATTTAATAAGGTAGTCGAATTCATAGTGTGGGATGTTCCTTCGTTTATTGTTGTACCGCTGATATGAAGCTGTACGCGTCCATCACCGGGAACCCAGCTAAGAACTTGCGGAGTTGAGTTCTATTAGTTATTCGAAAAAAAAAAAGCGACGATAGCTTTTCCGCAGTAATAAAGACAAATGTCATATCGATCATTATAGCTTCGCATAGTTTCAGCCAGTGATGGACTTGGGAATTCGAACTTTAAGTTGTTATCAATCATGGATATGACGAGTTTTTGTTCCGTGGCCGAAAATGGTTTGGGCTTCATCCTAGAGCAGTTGCCTACTCTAGAATTATTAATCGTTTATTCATAGGGCCGATTGCATGGACTATCAACTAATGTAGCGAAAATAATTGAGGGCCAAATAATCTAATTACTGTTAAGTTCTGTATTGTATAACTACGATCTGGAATTGTAATTTTTATATCTATAAACTATTTATGTTGCGCTGTTTTTGTGTGCTTTCTCTACTGTTACAGCTGAACTTAGATCGTTTCGCGTTCGAGGCCTTATGGCGGAAGACAATTTCATGCAGACTCCGCTGTCGGATTGGTCTATAGTACGTGAACTTTTATATATACAAACAATCTTTGAATTGAATCGTTGAAAAATACAACATTTCTAAAACGAGAGTGCTCGTGTAATTCCACGTTATTAATGCGTGCCTATTAACGCTGAAATCCGGAAATAAACATCTGCCTGGTGCAAAAGAAATTGTTTACGTATATTGCGGGTTTCCGCGAGGTCACGAGTAAGTCCCCTTCTGACGATCGCGGACTCTACTAATAATAGTAACACTTTAGAGTGCGAAGGCCAGCTGAATGTTACGGCCCAGTGTCGTCGGCAGTTGGAGTGTCATTTATTATAATAAGGTTTATAGTCTCAGAGCTTTACAGCTGTGAAGTGCATCGATGTTCAACCGACGCTCACGACGTTCACTAAACGTGCGCCCCCAAGACGGTTGTACGCTTGCCCTTTCGATTACCAGAACACGCAAGAGGGCGCTGTTTCTACAGTCTACGTTGACAGAAAGGCTACAGACAGGGCAGCAGTATTGCTGACTTGCAGTGCGATCGGTGAAAGCCAAGACGTACCAAACGATATTGCCAAATCTAGAACGCGCACAATCAGTGAAAAGTTGAAAGAACCGGACGACTACATCAGCCACTTTAAATGTATTGAGCGACTACTATTCCGTAGTGCCCCATAGCGCACTGATTTCGCGCACGTTAATGCTAGGTTATATATATTTATATAGGACGAGATGCACATATATATGTGCATCTTGTCCTGAACTGTAGCATGATCTCTTGTCTAATGTTAATGCATACGCGAACGATTATAAGAGCGTGTATTTGTTCAGTTCCTAGGTAGGCTTTTCTAACATTATTTAACACATTATACTACGCCATAATTAGCGTCAAGAGGTTGCATAAAGGTCAAGAGGTAAGGCAAACGGCATCGCCAGCGATTTTAGACAATTCTTTAAAACAGACGCCCAGAGACGTGCGTGACGTTACTTTGTGAAAAGGCTGGAATTGACTGCGAGGGACTATGACGATGACGACACTTCCGCTACAGTGAAATATGCAAGGCAAGTCGAGAAATTGCAGCAGAAGCGAAGTAAGTGCCTGACAAAGCTTGACCTTTGCAGGTTTTTCTACATGACTTCGATCGAAGAGGTGGCCTCTTTAGTCAGCCCCTTAAGCTTACGGATCAGTTGTATGCAACGATCTGAGGAATCCGCTTATATACGTTTTATATACCGCTTATATACCTTTTAATTCCATTTTCAAAATAGTTCAAAAATACGTGGCCCATGTGTTAAAACCTTCAATAATCCCATGAATGAAATTCATGGGAAATATATTCAAAACTATCTACCGTTTATACAACACTTGATACACTATCGCTCGTTAGTTAGAGATAAAGCAGTCTATTTATCCGATCTCTTTAAGTATTATGTTGAGATAGAAGAACCTTATTTAAAATGTCCAGTCCGTACATATAATTTCTATTGGGGTATACCTGATTCCCGGACCAGGTATTATCTTTTAAGCTGTACATGCCTCATACAGTATACGACAGACTAATGACGTAGGCAACTGCTAGATTAAAACGCTCCTCTTGTATATTCTTCTTATCGCAATTGGGGTCCTTTTTGTGAACACTGACTGCTGATACTTGCTATTTATTTGCGGTTAGTTAATAATCTTTCATTTGCGATTTTGAATATCGAATATTCAGATTTTTGCAGCACGGAATACGAGGTGTTTTACAATCTATTAAATAAAAAATAAAGGAACCTTTAAGGTCTCTTTACTTAAACTATTTAAGTAGGGCTGTTAAAGGACTGTTACATTAACTAGAATGTCAATAAAGACAATATAGTCCAGTAATAAACGATTCGTACCAATAATTTCTATAAAAATTTGTTTGGGTTTGTTCCGACGCAAAAAAATAAACGAGACTTTGAAACGGAGGCATCCTCTGCACTTTCAGAATATAAAGAATAGGCCTAGAGCTTTTCCAGCCCCCTGATCCTCCAGATCCTATCATAATAGAGCAGTTTCCCCAGGACCTCCACCCTCTGAAAAACAGATAGCTCGACGCTGTGAGATTCCAGAATGTAGAACACTCGGAAACAAATGGGTTAAAGAGACTTTTAAACTGGACATACGACAGGTAAATTCGTTTTTGGCGTTAGGACCTTTAGGCCAGTATGGCTTACACAATCCAATTAATATATATATATATATAATAATCATGTATCGTTAAAAATAATTGGGCCATTTTGTAATTTTCGCTACTTTGTTATTTTTTGAAGCTTTTTGAAGTGAATGATAGCGTTTCGGCTAGCAAAAACATTGTTTGGCTCTTTTTCTGGGAGAGTGGTGCTACCTACCCTTTCTACGCTGTCATTGATGACAGCAGTGCCCTCTATAAACACTGGTCACATGGTGTACTGTTCGATACTTCAAATAGAAGCGTCGAGTAGGAAATTTCGGAACATTTTTGTGGGAACAGCAACGTGATTTATGCTTCACTATTTACGTCTATTTTTAAAAGGGCATATCTCAGCATTAAACGAAGTAAAAAGGTATGACACCTATCTTCAGCTAGTCTATGCATACTAATAGACCGGTCGTAATGCAATATCTTGTTGTGTACATACTATTCATGTAGTACACTTCGTTCGAGTGATAATAGACGTGTCTGAGAAGCCAAATCCCTTTCCTTTTCACTCTAATCCGTTCTACATACAGACTTTAATTAGATCTTTAACGATGTCCTAGTAATGGATAACAATTAATAGATCATCTTGTCAAATCATATATGACCAATATTCCAACCATTGCTGACTATATGAGATACTGAAAAATGCAATGAAGTTCACGCGAGATTTTTGAAGCATGAAAATATATTAGTATTGCTTTATAGATACATTGTATATGATGTAGGATGTTGTTGACACACGTTTTATTGGGCGAGCGTAGGAAAGATGATCCTTAACAAGAAATTGAACAAGTCAAAAGGAGCGTCTGTTAAAAGGCGAATCGCATCCAAGGAAGGCTTAATTAAAAAAGAAACCAAACCAAAACGAGGCAAGATCCGGCGGCGGTTGACACTCAATGAGCTGGTGAAGGAAGCGCGAAAAATGAAAAAGACTCTTGGAAGCGAAGTCGAAGTAAGGATTACTAACAGAATTGCTTTCGTAGAGTTCATTCAAGATGGCAGATCAGTCTAAATGCTATTCTGTGGGTACATATATTGGTGATATATCACAGCTATGCTTAATGGAATCGGCCGCTTCTCTGGCTGTAAACATAGAAACCTTTGGCTCGTTAGTAGAATATGCATATGTTTGACATTTCTAACGCCATATCTATTCATATTTTATTTTAAACGACGAAGACATTAAATAGTGAAAATAGGCGAGGTAAAGCGATCGTGTCAGGGGAGCGTAGGAAGAGTTCTCGGAAGAACCAGTCGGACCAGGAGCTTATCGAAAAATACGGAAATGTAATTGTCGATCTGACCGATCTAGCTGCGTGGGGTGAGTTTGAGAGCGATTACCACGAACCAACGGGCGCTCGCGAGAAGAGGAAGATGTTGAAGAAAACTGTAAGTCTGTCTTAGTTCGTATAGTCTATAAATTAAGTGCGCTTTATTGCAAAATGTATTATTATTAGGAAAACAGCGGAACCAACGCAAGCTAAAGCATTTATAGTAAAGAATATTCTTGCAAGCGGCTAACATGTACATGATTGAATTGCGGTTAAGCTTTCATAGTTTGTCGCAGTTCTAAAGAACTGATGGCCTAATTTCATTGAGGAAAGTCGTAAATATTATGCTATGCGTTCTATTGGGTTATACAAAAATAAGTTTCAAAGCAAGTTATTTGGGTGGAAATTATTCTGTAAAAAAATTCAATCGCGTAACAGTAGCACCTTCAATTTTACTTACGTGATATATAGGTAGAATTATGCCAGGAGGTTTTACTGTTTGATCAATTATCGCTTTGTTGGTTTTGCAGAGCAAATCACAAAAACAGAATGCTAAGGACGAATCAGATGATTATTTTGATGATGAAAGTGATAGGAGTGATGCTGACGATTTGGAAGATGAAGGAGATGAGGATGCAGAAGAATTCATGAGACAAATGGAAACACATGGTGTACGAGGCGAAATGGATCACAACGCGGACGGTAGCGAAAAAAAGGGCCTTAACGACAACGAAGGCGACGAAGTTGACGAGAACGATGGAAATATTGATATAGATGATAATGACGAAAGTATTGAAGATGGAGAAAGTGAACCGGAAGCTAATGAAATGACAGGCGATCTTAACGACAAGGATGGCAGCGAACTAATAGGTCAGATGCCTTTTAAGGGACCACTGGCTCTCCCAAAGAAAGAGGGAAAAGTGCCAATAAAACGAAAACCCTTTTCTGTACTCGATGACGGTGACTCTGATGAAGAGGGAAAAGACAATGGAAGCGAAGCGATGGATACCGATGGGGTAAGAGAGAGTAACATGAGGAAAAATGATCAAACAGAAAATGGAATAACTGTTGCTAAACGTATCAAAGGCCAACAAAAACTTGTAGAAGAGAAACATGTCGAAGACACTGCTGAATTATCTTTGACTGAGCGCAACGCTGTCAAGAACTGGGAACCGTTTCCTATCCATGACTGTATCCTTAAAGCCTTGGCTCGATTAAAATACACGGAACCTACGGAAATACAAAGCGAGTGCTTGACTCCTGCGATTCGTGATAGGTTAGTAAGCCATGGTTCATATTGTTTAGTTGCTATGTATCACAGAAACTAAGTTCTTATTTTATCATAGAACTTACATGCATAAGTATAAGTCTTGCGCGGCGTGCAATTTCTTCATTAGATGTAATTTTGCGTTTGCCGCTAGATTGGATATTTTTGGTGCAGCAGAAACCGGTTCCGGCAAAACACTTGCTTTTGGTATTCCCATCGTTAACCGACTTTTAGACGACAAAAAGCGAAACAAGATGGGAGCGTTAGTACTAACACCGACTCGAGAACTCGCTGTTCAGATAAAAAAACATCTGACAGATATAACTGAGGTAGGTTGGAATGACTGTAAATATTATATCAGACTACTATGTCTCCCTCATTTTACTTTGCTTTTGATTCATCAACCTGCAGTGCCTTCAATCTTGTCACTCCACGAAATAAGAGATGCAGATTTCCTAAACTGTGATGTTTCACAAAAATAATTGAATTCGTATCATTTGATCGCAGTTTACGTCACTGCACGTGGTGACCATTGTTGGTGGACTCTGTCACGAAAAACAGATACGTCTTATTCGAAAACGGCCGGAAATCATCGTTGCAACTCCAGGCCGTCTGTTCGAGTTTCTTCAGGACGATCCCTCATTCCAGGAACAGCTTACGAATATTCGATGTCTTGTTATCGACGAAGCCGATCGAATGGTGCAAGAGGTGCGTTTCTTTTTATAGATGCTGTGTTATTCAGGCAAATTTAAACAAATATAACATAATCAAGTGCCAGCTGCTTTGATTCTATCGTATATGCAACAAATAAATGTGTTAGGTCAGGTTATACATAAACTGGCTGGTATTCATAGTAAAGCCTAATCCATACTCGCCTAGTGGGCCCGTATCCGACCTTTTCTACGAAACAGTTATGACTGCGTGTGAGTGAGTATTCAAAACGTGTCCTTCATGGCGCCTACAGACTAAACGAGTCAAAAATATTTCATGACGGATGCCACCCAGAAATAACGAACTAACACGTGTCTCTTTTGGTCATCTGTATACTATGCCACTTATACAGGGCCATTTCGATGAAATGAAGCTGATCCTTAAATTTATGAATCAGAATCAACAAAGGAAACGGCAGAACCTCGTTTTTTCAGCCACACTCACTATGGACCCGCATTTGCCGGACCGAGTGATGGAGAAAAAAAAAGGCAAGAAAGTCAGTCGGCTTGATCAACTGAAGACTCTGCTCAATATGTCGAAACCTAAGATTATTGACCTGTCAAAGCGGATTGGTGAGTTTGACGGTATCTAGTTGAATTACCAAAGACGAGAAATACTCTTTATTCTAGAAATAATAGTTTATCTGGAAATGTCATCTAAATATGTAGCGGAAAGCGTTAGGTGACATTGGAGCTGAAAACAGTTTTAGATATTTCAAAAATGTGCCTTTAAAAATGCGTTGAGACTAACTGTAATTATCGGACTTCCTGCTGATATCTAGTGATTTTTGTTGTGTACCTTCAATGATGAGGTTTATTACATAAAATCAGTAGATTTAATTTATTATTATTATTATGAGTTTTACTTTGATGTAATAGTAAAGATAGCAAATTCGTGTTGAGTAAACATTTTTAATAAAGCAACCCCTTCGACTCAGTAGTTCTCCCTTTAAGCAAGTAGCCGTTACTATAACTATTATTATTGGCAACAGCAATACATCTTGCTGCCAGTCCCATAGTAATGGTGGATTAAATCACCATAATACATATGAATACTATTTTTTAATCGCTGGTTGCTTCTGTCTTTGTTATCTTCAGGCACGGCGGAGAAATTAACCGAATCTCGCATATTTTGCGAAAAACCAGAACAGAAAGACGCGCTCTTATATTATTTTCTTTGTATGCACCCAGGCCGTACGTTGGTGTTTTGTAATTCTATCGATTGCGTAAAACGACTGAAGTCTGTTCTCGAGACGTTGCTTTTACATCCAATGGCTTTACACTCTGAGATGCAACAACGACAACGTTTGCGTCACCTTGATAAGTTTGCCACTCAGCCAAATTCTCTACTCATTGCAACTGATGTCGCTGCACGCGGGTTGGATATTAAAAATGTGGAGCATGTCATTCATTTCAACGTGTCCAAAGCTTCGGAAATGTACATTCACCGAAGTGGGCGAACTGCACGTATTAAACAAGATGGTCTTTCCATAATGCTGGTCGATGGCCGCGAACTACCGCAGTATCGAAGGTTGTTACATGCTCTAAAACGAGAAGAGGATCTTCCCGCCTTTCCAATACAGGAGAATATTCTCAAGGTTTGCAAGATACGCGTCGCGAAGGCACGCGAACTTGAGGCGCTCGACCATCGTCAACGGAAGAGAAGTAAGAACAATAGATGGTTTGCGAAATGCGCCAAGGAGGCAGATATACAATTGGATGAAGATTTGCTGCAGCAAACGGATTGGACTGGCGACCGGAAGGAACGAATGAAGATGGAGAAACTACAGCACGAACTGAAAATCCTTTTGAGGAAACGGCTAATCCCACTTAACCAACGAGTGGGAGAAGCTCTACAACTACCAGATAAAGATCCACTAAAACTTGTGCAAGGCTCCAGAGGTGTCCCAGTGTAAATGGAGTCGGAACGTATCGTTGAATAATGCGTTATTAGTCCGCCTGACCTTTTCTTAAAACATTTTGATTATCAGAAATGTATATATAAGTTGTATAGCGATTAGTACCATCTTAGCTGACGTTAATTTCCAGTTGGGAATAAAGTAAGTTCATAGTAAGGAATATAGTAAACTGTTAAAAGAATGTTTTCATTGTAAGCTTACTTCTCTTTAACTAATAGCCAACTTTTCCGAACTGTATGCTTAGGTCTTATTTAGTTTTAAGTATACGTTACTTGTTTAGTTCTGTATATACTATATCAGTTCTCTTGGTCTTTTGCGTCACCGCCTTCGAAAATGCGAAAAGCTCCAGTGAACTTGACACGTTCACAAGAGAGGAGACAAGAAAGGAGGAACAATTTTAGAGCAATCGATTCTATTAGATCTATCAATCGGAACTATTAAGAAGTGCAACAAGGTATCGTACATAAGATCTTTTAACGGTACGATCTGAATGTCATTACTATGCTTTTAGTGTCCTATCCAAGCAGGTAAGCTATGCTTGATTATCTGGAAAATATTAGTACGTCTTAGGTGGGTGTTTTTTTAGTTAGGAGTCAATTGTCATATGCTTTCCAGAAGCCTCTTCTGAGACTCTGTGCAATATGATACTTAATCTTTTCAATGGCAACATCTAATTAGCGTTCTTATATGACCTAATTTTATCATCTTTGCCCGATAAGAAGGCATGTTACCATTTTATTCGAATTTATTGTATATTTGCATTAGTTAACGTCAATACGAAGACTGAACTAGTAACTAAAGATGAAATATGTTAGTCGCTTGAAACGACACTTTGATTCGACCTTCTTTTAGATTCTTTAATCTTACTGTATAGGAGCGGAAAATTTGTTTGAATATTTTTTTTGTTATGTTGTTTTTATGAGTTTATGGCACAGGCAAGGTGTAAGGATTAATATTCTGTGTGTTTTAACTGGGCAGGTTGCTGCAATCGGCCAGGAATATGTCCAATAGTCATATAATACTGCGTAAGAAACGTTTACCGATCTCAAGTCTGATAAAAGCGATAGCATTAGTTCTGTCAATTTTAAGCCATTCGATATAATTGTTCGAATACTAATTATTTCTCATATTTGGATTGGCATGCTTTATGATAGATGATTTAGTTGTATTTCAATTTGTATTCATTGTGTTTCTTAGATGGCTAATAGGCTTCTCTGCTAAACTACGCTTTATTTTAGGGGTATCATTTTTTGTCGTTGATGCCTTGCAAAATAACCAATCACGTAGTGCGCACATAATGTTTATATTCCCTAGATAAGCTACCATATCATTTGAGTTACTTGGAAGGTTAAATCAACATTATCTCCCAATAAAGCCAATTCGTATAAAACGTAGGTGTTAGATTGATAAATTTTTATTGAAATAGATTTCTTATTAGTCAGCTAACGTTACATTAATATTTTTTGTAACGCTCTAAAACAAAGTTTCCCAGAAAAAAAGTTGATTATCGAGTAAGAGAAAAATAGAATGTTCAGGGGGTATTTTCAAACCCCATGTTACTTAATCTTCTGTTTGTTTTTTATATTACCCTCTTAACATTTTAAAGTAAGTGTTTAGACTTTTTTTATTTTAAGGTAAAACGTAATAATATATATTGTACAATAAAAAATTCAAAAATAAGTATGTCACATGATAAACTATTTACGAATAAAGTACCTGCAAGAATGTGTAGATTAGGAAAAAAGTTCTTCTTTCTTCCTAGAAAATACGAAAAAGTAAGAAATAGATAATTCATATTTTTTACGAGCATACTACCGTATCGAAGTCTACTCAATTAATATTATGACTACTTTGAAATCAAATTTTGTCACTCAATATAATTGTGCGCTTTTGTGTTATAGGCGTTCCAAAAATTATGATACCCTTAAATACTTTATTTGTGCAAATTTTTTTTTTGTAGTGACCAGAATACAAAGAAGTCAAAAGAAAAATAGTGTCTCTTTTAGGCTTCACTACGTAGCAAACAACGCACCAAAATGACTACATATCTGAAAGTCACTACTTTGATATCTTATCACTCAGCATTTTGTATATCACCGACGCTCAAAAGATTTTAGCCTTTCGATGGCAAAGCCATATGCGCGTTCAAAAGTCGATTCTTTTCTGTCGATACCTTCCATATCATAATTGCATTACAGTGTGACCCTTTGAAACATTTTACAATCCCAAAACATGCAACAGTGGTGGGTGAACAGGTGGTAAAGTAGCCACATCTCTTTTCGGAGAGATCTATCCCTTATGTAGCTTAACTGAGCAAATTAAAAGTAAACTATAATAGATTTTAGACAAATCGCATTTCTAGGAGGCGGATCATTCTTATCAACGGAATCCGTTAGAATTAATGCAAAAGTATGGCACAATCTGCCGTAAGCTGGTGAAGAAGAACGAACTAAGCGTCCATACAATGGAGTTATAAAACACGCTTTGATATGTTTAGTTTTGTATATTACTTTATACACATGCAGACGCCAGGCGAGAGATCATCTGCACATTTGGAGACTCTTCGAGATCGTTGAGAAGACGTTGCAATCCTGCATGTAAAAGGACATTTTTAAGCGTAGTAAGATATAGCGCTAACATTTAGATTAAATGCTCGTTACCGGAGTTTAAACAACACATGTTATCTGTGAAATGGCCTCTGCTGCTACACCTATTTACCTTAGGAGACGCCGATCGTCACCACTTGTTCTAACTGAAGGCGATGCACTAAGCTTGCTACATGAAATTCGTCGCAGTAAGTCATAATGACAGAAGAATATTACGATGTTTTGTACATGAGGTATGAACAAAAATTTTAAATGGAACTCAGTCCACTCTACTTGGAATTATATAGATATATTTAAAAAAAAATATACATATATGGTTTATGCAATGTAAAATAAACGATCAGATGAAGCCGTGCCCGAACCAACGCCAGCTCTGGTAGTAGTAAGACTAGTCTGTGTGGCATATATGGTGGAACTCAGACTGAAGCCACCTAAACGATGGTTTTGCGAGTGGCAATCAATTATTCAGATTCTATGTGTTGATTATATATATATATATATTCTATAAAGAACTTGAAAATTTCTTTGTTGGTTTGTTGGTTTTATCGTAATGAAAGTTGCATCCTATGTAATCTCCTTGAGTTCAGACGGACTGAATACTCACACAGGATGTGGTTATTGAGATTAGCTAGTAACGACTATTGCATATTTTTGTCACTTCAGCGACAATACGCGCTTCTTGTCTAATTTTATGTTTATATAGTGTTTAGAAAGGACACTACCTTAAGGTAGATTGATCAAACTTTCATGCAATTCCCTAAAATCGGTTTATACTGATATATATTTGACACAATACCAGCTCCATTTTTCGACAACATCAAAGTTTAAAAACGTATTGTTAGCTGTGCAGGATTCTTACGTCTCATCGCTTAAGACAATTATAGGCTTATTTTCGTCTTGTTTTCGAACACGTATACACGCAGAGCAAAAATAATAAAATAAACAGTGAATAATGTCCAGTATTAATAAGTGACCCTCAAAATTTCTTGTATGTGTATACATGAATGAAAATGGTAATTACCGATGGGTAGGCAGATTCTTAGGGAGCCTACATTAACGGCGATGAAATCTCGTGTGCTATTAAATGGCAATGCTCAGAAGATATAGTATAAATATATGGCATTCAAGCTTGATTATCTGCTAATAATTTTTCGTTTTTATGCTGTACCCGTTGTGATTTCGTCAGGTTTGTCTGACAAATTACGGCCCGAAAATATTTCAGACGTAGTAAACTTCCTTGAAATTCTACGATCAAGTCTAAAAAACCCTGATAACGTCGGCATGATCCTTCGAGCCGACTTTCTACCACTGCTAGAGGAATGTCTCACCCACGAAGACGCCCACATACGACGGAGCGCTGTGTGGACTTTGTGTTTTGTAACTAGGAACGATCCTGAGCTGAGAGGGCACTTTATAAAGTACATAACAAGGATTGTCCACTTCCTTGAAATCGAGTTAACTGACCGATGTTTTCAAGCGGACTGCCTAAAGCTTCTCGCCAATTTTGCAGGCGATAGCGCGAAAGGACGCGACTCACTCCTGGAAGAGGTCTCATGCCCCGATTCATTGCTAGACCTCATTAACAAAATACTGCACCCTCAGCTGCTTCAGGAAATTGCTTATTTAATGCGCTGCATAACGGAACACGGTCCCCATAGTTCTGGTCTTGCTTTAAGGGACGCTGTATTTACAATACTAAACTGTATACTAGCCCTCGACACAAATTGTGACTGCTGGGTAATAAAAAACGTCTGCCGAGCTTTTCTAAACGTTCTACGCTTCCCGACATCAGACACCATTCAGATGGTGAAAGCAAATAATGTAGTACGTAAACTGATTTGGCACAGTACGCACGCCCAGTCCGACATGAAATGTACAAGGTTGTGTTTTGCGACTGTAATACAGCTAATAGTCATTCTGTTTCACGGAGATAACGATACGTGTCAGGAGTTCATAGATCAAGGCGCATTACGTGTTCTATCGATAGTTGTGGAAGAGGATCGAAGTGAACTTTTCTATCATATATGCGTCGCTATCGCTAATGTATTTGCATGCGATCCGCCTCAGATCCAATGTGCGATCGATAACATGTTGCTGACAGAGGTTATTCGCCAGCTGGAACACGGCGACCTGAGAATTCAGCGCGAAGCAGGTTTCGCACTTGGTAGCTTCTTAGACGGTGCTCACAAGGAACAAGTCCTGCAGGCTTTTGAGCAGGGATTGGTACCGCCACTAATCCAGCAGCTACAATCTTACGACCCCGAAACCGTTTATGACACGCTTGTATCTTTGTTCAAGCTCATGTATCATGCAATCGAATTAAAGAGGGATGAGGAATTCCTACAGGAAATGATTGAGTTCGACATTAAAACGCATATAGAGGCCTTAGGCAACGACAGAAATGAAACCATTGCATGGTTGGCTAAACATTTTAGTTATCATTTCCTCCTCTCCAATTAAGTTATTCTGTATCACCAGAATAGGATGGATTAGAGGACCAGAAAGATAGTTTAATCATATTACCTTGCCTTTATATCTCTATGCCAATAACCATGGAAAATATCAACAGCTTCAAACACATCGACTCAACAACTAAATACTTGTGAATGAATAGTAAAAGAAGGCTCGCTTATTCTGGGAATATCTAACGTTACATCTATTGTCGCATTATGCAGAAAAATACTAATGTTGCTTCTTCAATATGTATATTCGAAACACATACATGAGACATGACATGGTGTGTATAATGATGTAGAATGAAAATAAAGTGGTAGAGAATAACATTAAGATGGTGGAGTTGATCAGTTTTTAGAAATACCGTTAACCTTTTCGAGCCTTGGCGCCCACCATGGCTAGACCCGTAACTAAAAGACTTTGTTAAGTTCTCTGCTTTTCACGACTTCGCAATGAGTAGTCTGACCCTATTGCAAAAGCGTTAAGACATTTCAGTAGAGCTTCCGCGGAAACACCTATTCTAGGCATGACGAGTTTGAGGCAGTGTCTTTAGCTTGACAATTTTGTTTCCCCGGTTCCTTGGCGTCACGTTTTCCCAATTTAAATTCCACCTTACTTAGTTGTATATATGTATTACGCATTTCCCATAATAAGCAAGATCCTATCAAAAATTTCCTATTAGAACACAATTTGACGTCGCATAATCTTTTAACTCGCAAAACCTTTACCTTACGGAGTGTTTTTTTTATGCTCATCAATATAGTGTAGGAACTTTTGCACTTACATGAAATTCATCATGGAATTACAAAGGTGCCACTTTTACTTTTAAGTCAGCTATAGTGATTGCAACAATGTATAGAATAACAATGGAACGACGCCGCAATTTCTGTTGATGCTGTTTCTGAATTCGAAGTCTGTCGGAGCTGGTAGGAGTTTTACCGGAGTATAACAACACCTACTGTTACGTAATCGTGAACATATTGGCGGAAAAGTCTAAGCATTTGTAACGATCATGAGTTTTGTCTAAACCGAACTAAAAGCTTACTCGTTAGAAGACATTGTGTTTAATTAACTGAGATTCTAGAAACAGTTTTATAACAAATGTTTCAAATGTTTGATCTGTAGGTTAGAATACCGAAAGTTTTTTTGTGCTGCTCGTTCAGCTGGTTTCATATCTATGGATAACGTGTCCACCCTATGACTATTGTGAAGATTAAATAAAGAATACAGCTGAATCGCTATTTCTCGTCGTTATTTATTATTAGTATTATTAGCATTTTTTCTCTTCTTCTCATTGTTACTATGTTATTTACAAAAACAATACTTACAAAGCTTTCCGTCGATAAATATGAGTCTGCAGCTCGATTACTAAAAACATCTACCGCAACAGTCGATGAGGGTCTCAAATGAAAGATTGGCTCGCCTTACAGTAAACGAATATTGTGGGGCCTACATTTTGTTCAAGGGACCATTTTCAATGTATTTTCCGCAGAACGAAACAGAATAACATGATTAAATGTAAACTGAAATGTAAATCCCTGACATTGGTATAACAACTATTAACGATAATACGATTCCAAACTGCATCGGATCCCGGTTGTTTTCACTTACATTCTACAATTAGTTACAAGCGGAGAATTTCGACTGTTCTAGTCCACTCAGTCGAACTTTGTCTCAATAACAATATATAATGAGAAATAACATTATTTTGGCTTGGCAGTAAGTTCGCCACGATTTGCCTATCTGTTTTTTGATAAAACAGGCACTAATCTTATTGACACCCACTGCTCTAGTTTACCTAACTCTTAGTATTCTCTGTTCTTTTCACTGACAATTCCTGCAGCTTGCACACACTCTGCAGGGAATCGGGCGCAGGATCTCTTCCGCGGAATCTTCGAAATGCTTCAATTGGTGGTACACACCCACCGTCAACAAGCATGACGTCCCGAAATCTGTGAAATAAGCGAAACTGTAAAGTCGATAATAGTATCGTATTATATCGTAGAATAGTACTGTATTACATTGTCAACGTTTATAATGATTATCGTGATGAGGTAATAAGCGCGGGGCGCTCTTTTTAAGGCGCGGGATGCATATTTTATTTCTATTGCTTTGTTATCTAACGTTTTGTTTGTTGACGATCAAAAGCATTGTATTATATTAGAAATATATCCCTTATCTTATAAGATAATTGTCATTCTTTCGTCTAAATTACAAAATTTTGTCTTAAGGTAAAGCTCTGAGGATAGGATTATGGACGGCAAAAACGGTATTTTGATACCTAATCTATCTAATATTTTGTCTACTGTTAGGAGATGAAGAGGACGATCCGCGAAATATACTCTGCGTGCAACAAAATCTACGTAGCTGAAGTCGAAGGCATTTTCGAATCTGCAGGGAACGATAACAAGAGTCTTATAAAGCAAAGAAATCAGCCAGCTTTCTAATGGTATATAACAATCAGCCATTAGAAATTAAAGAAATGATTATTAGGTTGTTACAAGCGGATCCGGCGGACTTTGATATTCAATAACTCTTAAACTAGTTGGGCTAGAATAATTATTTTTGTAATACTCTCTTTGCGTTTCGACAGCTTCTGAATAGCCGTATATCGCGCTCTCATACGTAATTTCTCTATCTACCAATGAAATATGTTTGCCCATTAATTTCCCTTTTTGGGGCATGGAAAGTTTCGTAATCATACGGACCTAAAACGGGAGAATGAGCGGGTTGAAGGGAATTTTGCATATTCCTTTGCTTAATCCAACAAGAAGGTAAGGAATGGCATTATCATCAAGTAACCAAGCTGCGTGCTTTTAATTAAAAATTCTTAAGTCTCCTGAAAAACTCGACACAGCGGGCTACATTTATTGTTTCATTTTCGGTGACTATCTCATAATAACGGGTGCAATTGCAACTACCACCAATTATTTACATCCGAAACTATTCGACAGTGGCACCAAACTCGATTTCCCTCCGCTTGATCCCCCCGGCTGGTACTAAAGATTAAACCACCGGCGATCGTATGATCCCGGCGGGTTTTTTGCTAACTGAAGTTCCGCAAATTGCACCACGCGCATGTCCAACTGGCTTGGGGCCTATTCACGGGAACTTATTTTTCACTCAGTTTCCGCAGTCTCGGTGTTTAAGTTATCTGTCTGTAACTCGTTGGGTGATATGCCAATTCTAGCCGCCAAAGACCTCAGATTCCAAGCTCTGCTTTCGTTTTCAGCCACCTCGATTGCTGCAATGCGTTATTGTCTTTCAAGTTCCAACATCTGGTTATTTTCTCGCTAGTCTTCAACACTCTAAGCTTCGCTCTTGAAATATTTGCATCGTTCACGTACTGTGCTTTCGCTCAGGGCCTCCTTGCCTGGATAAATAAATAGACACACCCTGGATAAATTTTCGCACTGCTTTAGCCTTCGAATGTCAAACACTTAACCACTGAGCGTTGGTCTCCCAAACTAAAAGATGGTTTTCCTTCCAAGTCGATTTCTCTTGAAGCGAAATCAACCGGTTTTTACTAAAGTTTCTAGAATGCCAAAGTACCCTCATGCTACCCCTGCATAGCTCCAGATTTTAAAGTCCGCCGGATTTGCTTGTAACAGTTTAACATTAGATTAGGTAAAACGTTCCTGTTTGAACCACTAGATGGCGGTAACGTCACATGCACTGATCGTGTTCCGCTGGAGCTCTCTATGATGATTGATTTGACAGTTCGGCGTCCGCCCTGGCGTTTAAAATGATGACTCCGTGTGTTCAGCCATGATGCTCGAAAAGATGCATATAAGACATTGTCTTCTACACTGTTGTCATGTTCGAGAAGATGCTGTTGATACAAAAAAAATATTTCCAAAGCCAGTAAAGGCATCGATTTCCTTTTCATCCCGCATTTTAACTTCCAATGAAATCAAATGTAGCATCGTCATCTTGTATATAATCGGCATAGTGTTCTGTATAAAACACGTAAGGCGGTTCGGTGATAAAAGAACCCGCGAGAAATTTATCCTTTTGCTTCAAACGCTCAAATGGTTCATCAACACTACTTGGTCACTCATTTTTCGCCGTCATTGTTCTAACTCAGAGTATCATAGCACTTTCTAGTTTACCTATATAATTTTTATCTGTAATTAACGTGCAATAAGCGCTACCGCTTGCTAATTCTGGTGTAATCGCTTTCGAACTAAAGATTTTCGCTCGAGCGACAAATCACGTATCAGGCCGTCACAAGAAGTAAACGACTACGAAACGCAGGCACCACTTAAGCAGATTGCTGCACAGTCAACCTCAAAGCCCTCTATATGTCTCAGATGATTGTCGTGAATCGTTTTCATGCGTTAGAAGAGGTCAAAAAGGAAAAAAAAGTGAACTGTTATAAACTCAATGAAAATGACCAAAAACACGTTTGAAAATATGTGTTTCGTTGCTTGCATGACGTTAACAAGAAGTTGTTTCTATAGAAGATCGTTATTGGTTATAAACAACTGATCTTTTCGCACGATTTCTATACAGGTTCGACGTCACAGAGAAATAATGAAGGTTAAAAGTTGCACTTCTGCCTATAATGAAATGAGAAGGTAGTAATACTAAGTTACTTAACTCGGCGAGTGTCACCAAACTTTCTACCAGACTGTTACCGGACATCATATATTGCCTACCAGAAAGATGGGCGAAAGTAGTAGAAAGCAAAAAACACTACTTAACTAATGTGTTCATTTGTTTGAAAGTTATAAATAAAAGAAATAACTGTGACTTCCACTCAACTTAATAAACGAAGAAAAGACCTATTCGTATAGCAACAAACTGCATTTGAATTAACGGAATTTTTCACATTAAATTTGTACAGTCAGCTCTAAAATGAGGTACCACATAATAGATACTGTTTGGATTACTCAACCTAAAAAATTAGCAAATTATTATATTTTAAGCGTGTATTGTCATCAATTAAAGCGGTAAGCTATTGACTAACCTTCGGGCAACCTTGGCGATATCAGCATCATCTTGACATTCGTGCATAGCATGAAACACTTCTGCAGCAATCATACGACTCCATATTTTAGAATAGTAACCAGCTGCTAGGGGTCCGGAGATGATTTCACTGAACGAACAGACGTGAAACACGTCGTGCTGATGTTTTGGAAACGCTGTGATAAGATGAGGCCTAAGCCGATTTACCACATCTTGCCAGTAATCGTCACTGGAAGTGATGAACAGAAATTCGGGAAAGCGTTAGGCCTAAGTTCTAAAACACATATTTGTACAATATTCCACAAATGATTCGGGGATAAACACGCATTTGGTATATTTTCAGGTTTATTGCTACCCTGGTATATACTCCATACCTCTACCAAGTATGCTTAGTTTGTCGTTTAAAAGTTAATGACAGCAACTTCACTTCATACCTGGAATAGAGCTCTAAATCAAGAAGGCTCAAGTAGATTTCGTGTTGGAGGTCAACGGCACCCATATGTAATCGACTATCAACAATTTTGCTGTGGTACTCATCGGTGAGCGCTTCTTCAGCCGAAAGCATCTGTGCAAAACGTTTATCAAGTAAGAGCATGTCGAACAAGTCCGGTACCATATGGCCAATATCCCATGGTAAATTGGCAATTCCCGAAACATCTATATAGCGTGCTCGGGACACGGTATGCTGGAGAGCGTGCCCTAGGTTTTTGAGAAGATCACTTAGTTCTGAAAGACTAACAGATGTTCGGTCGTGTAAATTCATCACGATGGACACTAGCGGAGATGTATTTGTCGTCACACAGCGGGCTGAAGAGTTCATAAATGAAACAAACGAAATTAAAAGAAAATTAGCATTACGAAGTCCCTGTTAGATATTGATCTTTTTATTTCTTCAGTCATGTCAGTCAGTATACGCAAATTGTGGAGCTCGAGTCTAGCCCTAGAAATCTACAATGCTTGCTCTGACTGAACAGTTTACACTGCCGGTAGTACATACTCAGTTTCTATTTACGCTTAAGGAAAGTGAGTTTGCTTTAATTGTAGCTCCGCGCCGTTTCTGATATACTCTTAACATCATATGCAAAATTTTACCGTTCAAGTTCATATCTTATATGAGAATATTTAGTCGAATCTTATTAGACCCGATTTAAGCGAATGAGAAGCTGCTCACTTTTTAGTCTCTGGCACCAGCTTCCTGGGTATTTATCGCCTCTAGTTGGCAAGTCCATGAGGATTGTTCCCACCATGGCGCTGTCAACAGCAACCTCGAACATTTTCACGTCAGGAGCCCATAGGGGTTCTTTCGATTGCACCTCGCGCATTTCGATACCAAAAAACTTTTCTACGAAATTGCATAGCCCCTGTAAAGTTATGTATATTCTTTCAATCCCTTAAATATGCACAGTAGTCAGACTAGCGGCCTAATACACACACTCACAGATATAGAAATACATGCGAACATCTATGATAATGTTTAGGGGGGCTATGGTTGCAGGAATGGTCACATTTCTCTTTCTCTCTCTTTCGCTCTATATATATATATATATATAACTGATCGACTTGCCTGAAGAACTGCCTCTAAAGGAAATAGTTGTCTCATATCATTTTCGTCGATAGCCAGATGAGCTTGCCGATACCTCCGCCGCCAATATGGAAGATCCCAACGCTCGAGTGTCGCCTTAAAGCCCTTTTCAGCACAAAAAGCCTGTAGCCCCCTAATATGCTCCTTTGCCACGGGATCGATTTTTTTGGATAGGTCTATGAGAGTTTTTACGATATGCTCGACGGATGGCGCCATCTTCGTTGCAGTTGCTTTTTCGGCGTACGTTTTGTACCTACAATGGTTGTAAATAGCTTTCAATGCGAATAACTTTAACGAAGTACCGTTGTGGACGGAACCACAAAGCCTGGGAAATAATTGAGTACCAAAGCTGTAGTAACGACAATAGTACTTTAACGGTTGTAACGACCACTCATTCAATAACCGAAATTACTTAATACATTTTCTTTAAGGACGTACACGTTTTTAATTAACCTCTGATTTTTATCATTACTATGTACCTTGGCTTATGTATACTTATGTATATTGATAACAACCGAAGTTTACTCGCCTAGCCTTTGTCAATTCTGCCATCAAATTTGACGGACAATAGGATATGTAGATGAAATACTCATCATTTAGTATTTTTTTTTAATTAAGTATTTCAAATACTTACCCGAATGCCCTTGCCTCTTGTTTTCTAGCGCAACGAATTTCCTCAATATGAATCGAGTTGTTCCATGCCATATTCGTAAAAGACGCCCTAATCGAGGCGGCCGTGTAAAGATTTTGACGGTGACGTCTGTCGCTGCAATAGGCCATAAATGCCGAGTACTGGGGTTCGTGCAGTGTTACAAGAAAACCATTCTGGGTGGAAAAGTGCTGCCGAAGGTTCTCGGGGAACGTCTTGATAATGTCCCCATCAAGTGGCTGTTTGAATGCGTTCGTCGCCTGCGCTAATTTATTCTCAAATGTTGCTCCTTGACGCCGTATCGTGTCCGCTGTCTCTTTCAGGATTTGCTTATTATTGTAATCGAGATCCAGACCCATTAACTTGAAGCTGGTACAGTATTTTCGAATAACCTATACGGAACGTATTTACGCTCATAAGTTTGGTGCTCGATGAATATTTTTAATGTATCCACAAAAATTTAGAACGCGCCTTAGTCGTCAAAAATTACCCTAAACTAGGCGTAGTGTCTGAGCCTTGATTAACTCAATAAGGTTTTAAGAGCAATTGCTGTTTTCAAACTTGAATATATCAATATAGATGATTACGGTTTTCTTTTGCGAGTGTAAATTTGACTGAAAAAATTCCTTAGTGATGAATGTGCCAAGTGGAAAAAAGCGCATTTTCCCTACTTTCTAGACTATACATTTCATTCCGGGCCGAAACACCCCGGGACATTTAGCTTGTGTACGAGACAGAAAAAAAAGATACAAACACTGCTTAAAAGTGGTTTTCCAGGTTTAAAGACGGTATCAAGATTCTAAAGGATGCTCTCTGGCTGATCGTTTCAGTTTGATGATGACCATCTAAACGCACTTTGAGAAGATCGGTCGTAGTTCCAAGACTTGTTACCCACCTCAAATCCCTTGGGTTTACATAGAAATTTGAGTATTTCGAGAACAATTTAAATTCAACAAGAAATCAATTTAACGCTGCATTTCGGCATATCACACGATGTCGAGCGTAACCACAATAACCGATTTTTGCACAGAATTGTGTGTCAACATTAGGAGCATTTCTGACAGGTGGCGCCAGAAACGAAGCCAAGGCCTAGACTCCAATCAGGTATTCACCTAAAAAGGTACTTGAAATTTGATGTGACGGCAACGACTGAGAATTGCTCCTTTTGGACCAAAAAGTTCGTCGGTACTTTTATTTACACTAATTACACTAAATCAAGCAAAAGGCAATTTGACAGGCGAGCTGCCGCTGAATGACACACAGGGCCGCATATGGCATACATGATCGAATGGGAAATTTTGTTAGATCACACATATTTGCCGGACCTTGTGCTGACGGAGGTTCGCCTTTTCGTTCACTTTACAATTATCCTCGCAGATTTACCTTCGACATAGGTCAGCAATTTAAAAGTTGACTGAAAAACTGCTTCTTATTCTCTCCCTTCTGGCGAGAGGGTATCAGTTAAATAATGGAGTTTGTAGGAGAAAGTCGTGAACAGTGACGGGGGATAAGTAACATAATTAGTACACAGGAAACTTTCCAAACAGCTCGATTGCAAGATATATTTTATTGTTGCCAAGCGTATATTATTTTTGGCTATTTCAGTTGAAATGAATTACTTATCGTTACGGTATACTAGCCAACCAGCTACAGGTTCATATGCTTCATTTTTATAAGTAAAATGAAAAACATCACATCCCACCAATCCTAAAACAATTTTGATTAAGGCTGTATGTTGTGGATTGTCATGTTGTTAAGTTGTCAAAAATGGCTTTACAACTTTTAGCAAACAGTTTACTATATAAAACTCTTAAGAGTATGGGAGACCTAAGAATAGATCTTAAAACAATAATTGATTGATTTTTGTTTCACTGAAAAATCTCTTTCTTACACTGAAAAATCCAAATCAAAAGATATACCTGCTGCTGATCGTCATCAAATTTCTCTAGATCGTCGTGGAAATCTTTGACAACTCTATAGATTTGAGAAGAGTTGAACCTCCTTGCATTGGCTTGTTCTGCCCTTCGGTGCAGTTTCTCATAAGCCTTAGCTATATCGTTGTCATTACGAACCTGCAATTAAAGGTAGAGTAGTTATAGATAAATATTTGCGTAGCTAGAAACTATAATAACACACTATTGATAGAATAATTATAATAATAATATAATATAATAATAAAGTTATATAGTTTTAGAAATCAGCGTTTCAAATATAACAGGATACATTAAGTAAAATGCACATTCCAACTATAGTAGGAAGTAGCTGTGATTCATGGGCACATAGATATATTCTATATATATAAAATAAAATCTTATGAGTGTCATATCTTAAAAAGTAAGGCATAGTAATCTTTGTCTTATATCAAAATCCTATCTATGACAAATAAACCTAAAGAGGTCCGTATTTTTGTGCATATCGTTTTCTCTCTTTCTGGAATACAGCAAAAACAGGCCGAAACATATAAGCGAAAAGACAATTCAAGCATAAAGCATAAAAACATAAAGCACCTACCCAAAAATAGTAGCAGCTCAAGTTAATTATATTTCAGTAATCATAGCAGTTCGGAGCAACAATATTATCGCTCCTAAAAGGTACTTCTGCATACATCCTTGAAATTTACTGTACAAAGGAAAACATCCTTGAAAAATGGTTTATTTATATTATACGCCTGATACCTTCTGCATGAAATTATGCAAACCTCACGTTTTCCTTAGCGATTTTGAATATATATGCTCAGTTTTATACCGCAATCTTCAACAAGGCAAGAAAAATCGCAAACGTAAAAGACCACGAAGTTCGAAGTGAAGTACAGCCACCTACCAAGAGAAGATTTCTTACGGACATCCATGCCGACTCCATCGGTGAAAGGAGTTTCTCAATAGGCTCAAAGACAGACTTGAATGTTTTTGGGTGATTAGGATCTGCAAAAAATGCGCATCACTTACTTGTTCTACAACTATGGTTGCAACGTGCACCGGCGATCGAAATATAAAGTACTATCATTACAGCTAACAAAACAAAGCGCTGACTCAGTCGAGGGCGCCAAGAGATGTAAGGCTCGACGAGGTGAAGAAGTGATATAACAAACTAGGTACCCGAATACAATTAATGTGTAGGACAGATTACCTAATGTTTCGTGATTTTAGATCTGTAATTGTAAAGAGCAATTGGAAAAATTTTTACTTGGCACATGTTCGTCTACCTTCTAATTGCTCTTCAATCTGACATAATCCGCTTTCGTATTCAATAAAGAGCTTCCCGACAGCTCTAAACGCGGATTCAGCTGTTATATCGTTGTACTGTGGTACCTTATCCGTCACGCGGAGCAAGCTGTTGGTTTCTGCTGTATCATCCGGAATTTCTGGAAGGCTACAAAGAACACAGCAGTTTCCTTTGAGACGCTTTCAAGAGCCACAACCGATCCGTAGAAAAGCATCATCACCTTATCTAATCAACGATTTTGCTACGGGCTACAAACAAGCTGTTCAATAGCTGCGTTGCGTCGTCCGCTTGCTAACAATAAACATACGTTCACACTATACCGTTTGCTAAGGCAGTGAGAATTTCCGACGAAACGTTGACGCAGTAAAGGGATGTACGAGGGGTCGGAGCTTTTGGACTGACTATGACTCATAAAAGTCGTGCAGTTCCTTTGATCACAATTAGAAATTACTGTTCATCACCAATCATCAGTCAAAAACGAGAATCAGTGACTTTTGGACGTTGTGATAAAATCGCACGTTATCATTATTGAGGACTACGGATACGCTGCTACGCCGCTATGGAAGAGGGACTCTCGGAATATATTTTACATTCGACAGGTCATCTAACGGTCTTGTTTGTCAGTAAAGATATAATGTAATAAAAATATGGCCACGCTGTATGCGTTGCCGCTTTGTAAGGAAACTATAATTTAATAGAATTCAATAAAGCAAGAATTAAGTTCTAGGATTCCTTGAAAATTCTATAAAAATGTGTCGATATTCATGCACGAGTTACGCAGGCAGTATATGCCAATAGTGTGGGAATCATAATAGGTAAATCCGATATATATTCTGTACATGGAAAGCCAGCAGTGTTAGCAAAAGTAATGGTTGCGACAGTACCCCCATAAATACAGATGTATTGAGCATGATATTAGCTTTTTCCTGTAACCAAAGTTGACTCTAACATAAATCATTAGATCTTAGCTGTTACTTTTTTGTAAAAGCGAGTCCATTGCTATCGCCACTGGACGTTAAAAACTCTAGTATTCTGCAAAACTAAATGATATTTGAAACGTAATTTCTCTAAATGAAGAAGCAGAAAAACACGCTTGTCACACAGACGTTTTTCAACTGAATCTCTCATCCTGTGATTTAGTTGTTAATTAATCACAAATTGTCCCCATTACATTTGTTCCACCTAAACATACACCTAGATTTCTGTGTACAAATATAGATACATTACGTTATGTAGCAATTTCCTGTATAATGTAAAGGTAAGTTTGCATGATTTGATGATGAACCTATGCATTCTAAAGAATAGACATTGATTCGCTGTTTTAGTGTAAGCGTCTGCCTTTCAGCGGGCTTTGAAGACATCAACGGGTAAATCATTCCTGTAATGATAAACATATAATTACATCATTGCTAAGGACGTTCACGGTATAGGTATCTAAAATGACACTCTTCGGTATTTCGTCTGGGGTGACCGGTACACTATTATCGCAGATGTCTGAATAAGAGCAAACTATGCGAACGCTGTATAATTCGGACCGCGCAGAGAGAATCGTTGCAGAGGAACGACAGGATGGAGAAACCTATAATACCTTCACTGTACTCACAGGATAAAGTAACCATGCGAGGGAAGATTTCGGCAGCACTGAAATGTGAGCGGTGTAAATCTTGTAGTTGCCTTTCGAAGGCCCAGTCCGCGTAAAAGACTGCTGGACATTCCGATTAATTGTGGCCGGGCAATCCGAACAGCACGCGCAAAGAACAGCCGCTCGCGGACTAGATACTGTGCGATCAACGCAGGTAGACAGATACACGCGGTTATTAAACGGTAGAAAAATGCAGTGGATGCGGAAAATACACGTTGGGGGCTTTTTCTTGTTTGTCTCCGGTTACGTTCCGGTTGCAACACTGGCGACGCCAGGAGACGGCATGTGCAGTGCGAGTATCGACACTCACCTGCCTCATGGATGTTGTTCTGGGGTAGCGTTGCCGAATACTTGAACCCTCGCATAGCTCTTCCCATTTTTGGGAGAGGGCAGAGCTGGCCAATATCCATAATCATAATAATAATCCAGATGATACCCAAACGACTAATCTAATAGAGATATGTATTCATTGATGTCAGTGTAAGAATCGGTAATTCGCGTTGTTCAGTTACGCGTCGGGATAGTATCGCCTGTCTCTTAGCTCTTGTAGTACGTGCATTTATTGTGGACGTTTATCAATCGGATCATTGACGCCACGTCTGTTATCGTCAAGTGACTGGACACTCACATTACACTGAATTTTCTTATTTTTAATCGCAGCTGTCAGCGCAGTATGTTTTGCCTGCCGCGATGTCAGATGAACATTATATGCGGAGGCAGGGATCATTAAGCTGAATTAGTGTAAGTCTGGCTGCAAAGAGAGCCGCAGTCGCTACTTAGTCGATAGATCCGCTGGTGAGTGTAAAAGAGTAAGTTAATGGATTCTGACTGAGAAACCGCTCTATTCTGAAGAGACGCAAGCGATCGTGTGGTCTGGTGAAAGCATCAGACGTATAGTAATGTACTTACGGCAGCCCTAGGTAATGTTGAATCTATGCTTCTGAAATTCCCTGAATTACGAAAGATCGACCTTGTTGCTTGCTGTAGTGGCCGGCAAACTTTTGTAGAGTTTATGTTGCCTTATAATGTTTGCATACTGAAATTAGACGAACTCCGGCCTTATATGCAATGGTCGATTGTGGTATCTTTGCCCCGAACGTATAGGGCTCTACATATATATATACGAACCCATACCGTATGCGATCAGCTGGTGGTACATTTGACGTACTTGAAGTATATATAGCTCAATTTTGCTAAATCTTCATTTTGAAGTCCTTCAAGTATCTTAGCCTTATCCAAGTCCTTTGGATTAGAGAAAATGCTATGATATTCGGCTGTGTAGTATTTGAATTGATTTCTATAACAGAACACTAGCATTCTTGATCCACCTAAATGCGATAAATTAGAAATTCACCTGAAATAGGGCTCATAATCTAAAAGCAGATAGAAATGAGCCTAGATATTACGCAGTGCATTGACCCTCTAGCACAATTTTGGAGGTAAATTTATCACATGGTTCGCTTGAAGGTATGAGTTCATTTTTCTCGGAACGGTTATCATCGTTTCCTAGATACAGTGAGTTGTGTTATTACAAAAATAAATTTGCAGGTAACGGAGTCAAATACCTACTTCGAAAATACTTGTTATTGTAAAGAACTATGCTATATCTGATCATTTATTGCATAATGAAAAATAGCTATAAACCCTAAAGTTTAAAAAACATGAGATTTTGGCTGTGCAGAAAGAAAAAAGCGATATCCAACATGGATAAGAGTTGCCGCAATAATTGGGCTTTAGGCGTCCATTACAAATCAATTGTATTTTATTAATAAGCCGATTTTAAGTTCTATTACTGGTTATATTATCGTTATATTGTGTGCAGGACATTTTAAAGATAGCGGTTAGATTTTTTTACAGATATGAGGCGTTACTGTGTATGTATACGTATAATATAATTAATTCTCTTATTTTCCTCTTATTCAAATGCAGATAATAAAAAGGGCCACGATTATGGACGTACCAAAAATAATGATATGTTGCATTTCAGCTCATATTTATATACTGCCCATACATTCGTGAGGTGTAGGTGATGTGTGAAGCGTTGACCATTTGAACCCACAACATGATATTGTAAATTATTTGTGTTTATGTCATTTGAATAAAATAAATATGAACATTTTACGACTTCAGTGAAGCTTTAGAGTTGGTATCGATCTCACTCATATTGGCCAGTTCTCAAATTTAAAAGTGATCCCGATGTCCTATGATTTGGACAACGTCCCGGGATGAAATCTTTTCCATAGCTGTCTGCCAGTTGGCTAACAGGCATCAGTACCTTTGGAAGCATTTCCATCAAATAATCTAAAAGAACATACAAACTTAAGAGTTCTAACCTTCAATACCAGTATAATTTAATAGATCGCTTGACTAAAAATGGTGAATCTTGAAAGTTATCTAATGCGCGGTGTCTTCCAGAAAAATGGATTCAATGATCGATGTCTCGCTAACAAACCTCGAACCGTCTCCGGTTAAGCCGCTTAGGGATGAAGAAATGTGTAAAGACACGAAGGCAACAATTCTTGAAGAAGGCAGTTCTTTGGAACCAGAAACAGTTGATTCGAAAGACTGCGTGTGCACTCCCGAAAAGCATCGCCTATCGTCAGATTGTGCTGAAGCAATCACGCGCTGTGCGCGTGTTGTGAAACAGCATTATGGTGAGGACCTCATGGAGGCCGCGACGACGTTGCAGAGCCTATGTAACGTACAAGATACGTCACTAGAGCTCATTGAAAATCGCCATCGTGAATTGGTAGATATTCGGGAGACGTATCAACTCGAGGAAGTAATTGAAGAAACCCAGAAGTAAGTTTGAATGAAGTGAAAATCTCCAGACGTGTGTTATGTGTGTAGAGAAAGGATACCTTTTGAACAGGTAGCTAACTTGTTGGACGGAAGTCATTCTGCATCAAAATGTGGTCAAAAAGACATTTTTCGAAGTGGTTGGTACGCTGGCAATTCATTCGTAGTTGTATCTGATCGCAATGAAAATGATATTGATTGTTATGGATGTATCACTGGTAAAATAGCTACCTAGTGTTGATTAGGCTGCATGATTGATTATTTAAGTAATTATTTTCAAATGCCAATGATCATTTTACAGTTATTACAACAAAATGCTTCGGTTAAAAAAGGAGATGCTGGCCCTTACTGCAAAATCAAAGGAGTTAACAAAACGGGCAGCTTACGTGAGGGATGTGCGCGCCAAGGAGCAGGCTAAAAAAGATGAGGAACGCAAACGGATAGAACAATTAGAAAAAGAGCTCGAACCACGTTATGCGAGCGGCCTTTCAAATTAGGACCCCGACCACCTGACAACAATGACCTATATGTAAATACCAGTATTCATATCTAGTAAACCATTATTCTGCCTAAGAGGCAACCCGGGAACGATCTATTAGCACCTACGAACACTCTATCTTGCTGAGACTTGAACTATCTGAGCAGGCCATTTTTAGCGACCTTGCAATCCCATAGACTTGCTGATGGAGACGGCAGGCAAAGTGAACCTAATTCCGTCGTAAGCAAACTTGTGATTTCTGGTACGCTTTGTATTCTCGCCATTGTTACGTTACTTCTTGTAAGCATAAACGCTAGATCTTTCTCAAGGATTGACTAAATATGTGGAGCACAAGGGCCACATACAGGTTGTGGCCTATGCAAAAACGATGGATCATCAGGCAGGGCGAAACGTGAATGATCCGCAATTTTAATATCAGGATAATTTGTAAAATGTGTTGGCGTAATATAAGCTGGGAAGATGTCAGCGAAAAAAAAAACATTCGTTTGTTGGCGCCGGTATCAGAATTGTTCACTCTTGATGAAGTTCCCTTTGCCAACATGTTATTCGTCAGTTTACGTTGTTTTAAGTTATTGCAATTACGTTATTGCTATAACTTAAAATCGATCACGTAAAATTAGCTCTGTGAGAAAAATAGGCTTAGATGCGTATAACGATTCAAGGTACGGATGACTTCTGAGCGAAAATAATTGGTGAGACATATATAATAATAATATATAAGGAATAATATCATTTATTCATTAAGTGCTCATTTGTAGTAAATAGAGTAGTAGTAGTAGCAGTACTATGTACAACCATGTTTAATATTTGAAATATTTATTGTATTAATTAGGGAATGAATAATGGAAGAGACAGGTACTACACGAGAACAAAATGTAAAGTTTTTATTTAGTAATCTTGTTTACGGTAGACAATACAAATAATAATAATACTTGTCATACTAATACCTTACTCCCTCCCGTTTAGGTTCTCTGTTTTATTATTAAGTAACTAAGCAATGTCGCCTTAATATGTTGTTCCTGCTTATCGGTATCGTATTATAGCTATTGTTATCTGTGTTCTTTCTATTGTTGGTGTTTTTATAGTGCGGGAGTTGCTCGTTACACTAGGATGCGACATAGTATAAGTTATAATGACTACTATTAGTTTTTGTTCGCTTCTTCAATATCTTACCTCGGGAATATTGTTTCTCGTTTGACGTACACGAACGCCATGTCTACTTCAGTCTGCTAGTCCATTTTATCATCATCTGAGGCGTGCACTGCAGAAACGTGCGCGTTTTCTTCATATACCGCACATTACGATGGAGTATTTAGAGTCATATACACAAACCAACTCTTTAATGCTTAAAAACGGACTTCGAATCGTGAATTGGTGACGCCAGTCGAGTCGAATTCCGTGTTGTCTTAATTGACGTAGACCAGCGCTGCTGGTTGACCTGGACGTTTATGAGGACGCCCTCCTATGCCAAACCACGGATTCGATTCCGATCTGCGTAAAAACCCTTTACTGCGTTACTTCTCTTTCATTTGATGAAGTGATTTCATTTCTGTCGGGGCTATGGCCTACAAATGCACAAGTGAGCTAGAAAACTGTTATCAGGGAACTTCATTATCTGAAATCTTGGACAGCGATGCATTTCTTACCCCAGTAATTTTCCGGGGGCATAGATAGTTCCAAGTATGTGTACGCTGGTCTTTTTTAATCTAATTATATTAATAATATTTTAATGAATGTCATCGTTATCATACTGTTGCACTTCGTCTTCGTACCGTTGTGTCAATTGATAGGTACATAGGATGCAAGTAAAGATGTATGTGTGTATGACTGTCGTGAGATTGTTAGCCTCTAGCCGATTTTAACTCTGCCAATGTTAGCTGAGCATGTCCCGCGCACACGGCGTAGACCTGCTCACCAGAAAAAAGTATACGGCCTTTGTAGTCTTCCTTGCTACCTATTTGTGGTCTAGGTACGCAAAAGCATCCTCGATCGACTTTGATAGTTGCCTTTTTTTCGTTCTCTGCATTTCACAGAAACTGCACCTTCTCGTGCTTATCATATCGTTTCTTTTATTAACGATAATGCGCTGTTGATTACCAAAATCGACCCCTTGGAGAAACCCTTTGCCAATGCTGAATCAAGCCGCATCGGATGTTCGAATACTCTGTGGCGGGTAAATGAATTAACGGGCACTAGCTTCAGTTCCGGCGCCGCACGGTTCTTACGCATGGGCAGGCAGGGAAAAATTATCATCATTTATTGTTCCGATGAGAAGTGTGTGGGATATGGCCGAGGAAAGGATGCGGAGTCCTTACGTCGCCGCAAGGAGAGTTAACTCAGTTGTCTGATCCTCGATAGACTTATTCACGAATGCCTCGTATACGGGGCGAAAATTAAGAATGAAATTAGGGAGGCTTCTTCTATGATAAAAGGTTGTCAACAAATAATTAATAGAAACAGGATAGGAAGTGGGAAATCGATCGGTGGACTAAGCGGCGCAAGATAGCTTCTTTGGACATACATTTGTTCAGATTGACAGGTTCGCGCTCCTGAGGCCCATTCATCGATTTCCTCGGCTAACTGGAATGTGCACATGCCGTGAGTTACTCCGTCTCTAGTTTAAAGCAGATCATCACTGAAATGACGGCTGCTCGTATGAATACGTGCATTTGTCGCTTTCCATCTAAAACCTGCTCTTTCATGGCGTGCCGCTGCCATTTTCTTTTATCTTCTTATTTGATGCTTCGTGCTAGCTTTGTCGCGTCAGTTGAGGTGACAATGGTGACTTCAACAACTCGCGTGTTCTCTATTAACCTTGATCTTTCACCTCCTACCGGTAGGTGTTTTTCCGTCACGTTTTGTCTGGACACCTGCACGGTGATGACACATCTTCAACCACTACAGCGTCATCTCGTGTCGGTTGCTGTGATGCCCTGTCATTGTGACATAAGGAGCTCACGGCTGTCATCATGTGACAGACGATGGCAGCAAAACAGAATACATACATCGGTACAACCGTCACCATTATGGTGACCTATCGGAACAATCATAATGGCGATCATGATGAAAGCCCGGACGGGCTCTGGGTACGGCCCGAAAAAGGCTCCTTCCATTTTGTTTGCCACCTGCTCATAGCAGATGGTAGCCGCGTACGTTCGATTATATGATTGCTTATGACAATATCTGAGCCCTCTGTCATGTAACAGAGCGCGGTTCGTTGTTGAGCGTGAGAAGCGCATACTCAAATGCAAATGTATGTATAATAGTGTGTGTGTATCCGGTAGTAACACATTAAATTAATACACTGTGTGTACTTCTCTTATTTACCCTCCGCCCAGAACTCATCCAGCCTTGACCTGGCCAAGCTAAAATCTCCAGGTTTTGGTGCAGCTTTGATGCCTCCCCCGCCTCCGATCGTACTAGGATCAATAAATGATTGCGCCATTGGGTCGATGGGCGGCGCCGGTTTCTGCTGCGCGATGGGAACAGCAGCTGCTGATGTTACTGTTGATTGCGAAGGGATGGCTGGAGGTGGAGCGGCAGCCGGTGCCGGAGCCGAGGCTGAGTGCGGGGCTGCAGAGGGCGCAGACAGCGTTGCTGCTGCTGCGGGTGTAGCACTGGAAGTAGACGCGGGTGGAACAGGGACTATGGGCTTCACATCGGGCTGAGCAGCCTTAGGGGCATTAGCAGGTGTCGCGCTGGCAGCAGGTGGTGCTGCAGGCACCGGGGAGGCGGCAGATGCAGCGGACGCTGCTGCTTTAGCAGGCGGCGCAACTGCAGGCGCGGCCGTCTTCGGAGGCTCAGCCGCCCCTGCTGACATCGGAGTTTCAATGGTTTTTGCGGGTTCCTCCGGGTTCGCCGATTCCGGTTTAGCTGGCTCCTCTTTTTTAACGGGCACGTTTTGTTTATCAGTAACTGGTGGTTCGACGGGAGTTGGTTTTGTATTCTCGCTCTTTGCTAGTTCGGCAGGTTTATCGTTATTGCTAGTAGTCTGAGCTATTGGTGTAGGGGCAGCGGGCTTGGTCTCCTTCGGAGCGGACGTGGCAGCTGGTGGGCTCTTATCTTTTTCTTTTTCCTTTTCTGGAAACACATTAAGCCATCAACGTGAATCCATGTAAATGTTAGCTTGAACTTGAAAAATGAATGAGGGTAGTAGTAAAACGGATAAGTACGATAGAGTTTTTTTTAAATCTTTTTAGTAAAAATACTATATATATATATATATATATATACACCATACACCAAGCAGCAGGCTAAGATAAACCTATATAGCTGTAGCTTTTTATGCACTATTAAAACGAAAGCTTGTTCGCAGTGTAGCCACTACAGACTATTATCACAAGGACACGGGCGACATTCTGCTAAACATTCTAAAAGATAGTACATTCATAAGCTCTACAGTGAGCTCACTACTAATGCTGAAAGATTTACATTCGATTAAACAAACTACTGGCTCGCCTTTGCTACAGATCAGCTTTAGAGCCCAGGCAGAATTATGTTAGGCAGAAGTAAGTTTACTGCAATTGATAGTTAATAAGCCCTGTGAGAATCGTTAGCACTGAATAACACCATATAAATGTTTAATATTTTAACATAATGTAACTATGAATGGGAAGACATAGCAATAAACAAGAGTAATATTAGAAAAAAGCAAAGAAAAACTACGAGATACGCACACGTCGACAAGTACACGCCAACATAACTGGAAGGGAACGGTCATGACGGTGCTTTTACGGACGGTCGGTCGGTCGTTCGTTCGCTCGTTTGTCGGCCGATCATCATCATCATCATCATCATCATAATCAGCGTCGTCACCTGTTTGCCTGTCTTACATTTCCTGCTATTGCTTTCCAAGGCGTTCTTGGCTATTATATAATAGTATATTATACGGAAGTAAATGAGGTCGTCCTGAAGGTGGACCAACCTCGCAGACAGTCTATATATGGGTGTGGCTCGAAGTAGCTCTACCCTTTGGAGATTGACTCTGCTCGGGCGCCGAGGCGGCTTTAAAGCACTTGTGATTGAGGATCGGTTAGGCATGAACTGATGAGATACGTTACACTGGTCACCACCTTTGAATTGATAAATGATTGATGATGCATTATTGATTGAATCTTGTACGCACGGCAACCTGGCGGACTCGTTTCGTGTATGTATAGCAGTTACTTGCGGGTTGATTGACTAACCTAGTCATTCAGCGGTTGACACATTAATCGAAGCTGAGCGATATCGTAAGAGCTAGTAAACGAGCAAGCGCGGTCGTCTGCATTCGTTTAATTGATCTAATAGTTGACGGTTGCATAGCGACGCAGGCAGGCGAGTACTAGGAAGAAGGTCGAGCAGAGGTTTTGGACATGAGTGGGGTGGGGTTTAGATATGGACGGGGTGACCTGGAGGACAGGAACGGGTCGACTTACGGGCGGAGCCCGAGGTAATCGTTGCCTACAATGAATACATCTGTTCCAGTCACGGCGCCCACATTGAATTAGATATTCAGACAGTGTCAGGCGCCAAAGCTATTACGCCATCTCGTTTTGCACTCTCATGCTTCTCCCGTTTCGTCTCTCTCTCTCTCCCTCTCTTTCGCTCTCTCTCTCTCTCTCTCGCTCTCTCGCTAACTCACTCTCTCTCTCTCTCTTTCCCTCGTTTTTTGTTATCTTTTTGCCAGATGCAATATGGGACAGGTTATAAGCCAACGAGCCGGAGCAATCAAAGTCGCTGACTGACTTTCTCGTACACGATTCGAACGACGACCGGCCCGCCTTTGCCATTTGGCATCTCGGGAATGCAAGCGAGGATTCTCTCTCCTAGAAAACGAGATAATAACAACAACAACAACAGCAACAACAAACAGAACGACAGCCGGGGATGCAACGAGCGACAAAGGCACATGTATAACAGCGGCGCAAAATAGAATAGAATTACACAAGCGGCAATAAATCAACTAGTAGTAAAGGCGAACGGAAGTAGGGATGCAATACATCTACTGGCAAATGTTGCTACACTAAGTAATTAACCAGCAACAGCAGATTCATCACTGTGACGAGAAGCAGCAGCAGGAATCGTCACGACGGCGCCGTATACGTGTTTGCAAGATAGTAGTTTAACAATTGCTAGTAGTTGAGGTTAAACTGGTAGCCGCAATCCGTACGCACCACCATAGAGCCAGCTCGGCACCAGCTAGAGGTAAGTTAGCCAAGTTAAACTATATCGTATAGTAGGTGAAAGGACGGAACAGCTGACAATGGAACAAGACGCGCGTTAAAGGACAGAACAAAGACGAGGGCCTTTAATAAATACACAGCCCTTCAGCAACCAGTAGCGAACGAATTAAATCTATATATATTAGCGCCTATAGTAATACTCAAATGTACTGTTCTCTGTTGAAATTTCACTGCCTAATAGAACAGCTGATCTGAGCTTGTTAGCCCAATCTTCACCGACAGTTGGAAGCCGATAGCGTGTTAAATGAGATAGGAGGCGTGGGGTAAACGACGAGTCGATCGGACGCTATAATAGTTATTCATGGGGTAGTTCAACGTATCGGGTTCCTATGCAGAATGAATAGTTTTGTAAAACTACTTAGCCTAAGTTTACCGTTTAAAATCTACGTGTGCGCCGTCTACATGCGTATTTGACAAATGATCCGTAAACGTTTACGTTGGTCTTAGAAAACATCAAACTTTGACTTATCCCTTATGGACTGTGTCACTATTGAACACGTTATTGATGGATGCATCTAAAAGAAGAAAGAAACATAAATGAATCAATAACGGAGCCGTGACCGCTTTGCTCAGATGGCTTCCATTTTATAGTCTCGCTGAAAAAAACTCCATTGGGACATTGGCAATACTCACCGATAGTATCATTGGTTGAAGGTTTGATCCATTTTTTGTCATCTTGTTTCGCTTTATCCTCTTTGGCGGGAGTTGGTTTTACAACCGCTCGCGGTTTTGAATCCTAGACATTGGTCGGTATAGTTTTTAGAGCGAATTCGTAGCGAATATTTGAATCATGCAATGCGTGAACAGTAAACTAATGGAGCGTCTCTAATCAGTGATTATTTTTCGCAAATTATTAGATATTAGGGAACGGTCCTGAAGAGCCTTGTGACAACTCAAGGGTTGCCTAGACTACTTCAGTGACATCTAACGACATTTTCTAAATGTACCAAGCCTAGCTCATAGTTGAACAGTGTTAAGGGCTAATAGATTGTCCTAACTGTATTACCTTTGTGCCGTCTTTAGGTTCGCCGTCCTTCTTGGGCGGTGTTTTAGAAGGCGTACGAATCAGGGTTGTGCTCTTAGTTGGAGAGGCCCCTTGCGGTGGAGGTTTTCCGCCATCTGCAACTCGTCTACGTGAAACGCTTCGACTGGTGCGTGGCTTGCTGATAGTACGAGCGGCTCCGCCGCCAGCTGAAGCGGGCAACGACGGCTTACCTAGAAAATGAGTTTGACATATGGAAGTGCTGATGACGGTGCACGAAAGCGACGAACGAGTGAGTGCGGCACAAACAGCATACTCATCGTCCTTGTTGATAGGATCATTCTAAATTATGCTTTCTGACAAGCGAGCAGAATGATTATTGCGAATTATGTATGTCTATTTCAGGTTTATCATCTCCGTTACCACCTAGACATACTCAGTTCCTACAAGCTATTTTATTGGCAAATAATGTGAATACTCTAGAAGTTCTACTGACTGTCCTTGGTCAAGGAGAAAGCCGGTCCCAGTGAGTGGAATCTGCTCTTCTGCCGGCGATATCCCGCGGCGCTATCAACCGTATCGTGTAACGTTAGCGCGGACACCGAATTACTCCAGATCAGACGGTTTCGCTCCGAGGGATAATCCGTCTCCCCGATGCCAGAAGAACGCGAGCGCGTCTTGTACTCCTCCGCCTAACAATAAAAAATCGAATAAATAATTTGATTACCCAATGTTTGACGTTCAGATTAGGAATTTCGTTGAAATTGCTTATAATAATTGTTTCGATATTGATGGGCGTTACATTATAACTACTTCTCTAGCTCACTTTTTACAATAGCTGGTTTTCCTACGTACTCCGTGACACGACCTAGAACTAACCGTTTCGTTTATCACAACTTAAGTCTTAAACAGCTAATAAAGTTAATACAATGTAATTAAACTTTTCTATGTTGCCCCAACAAGCAGATGCTTAAAAGTCTTGCCTGCAACTTTAGACGGATCAAAAATCGGGAAACATTATGCACTGAGCTCATGCAGGTGGGCTTACATGCGCAGCTGACCTATGCTATATTCTCCATGATCATGGAAAGTTACTGCGTAGCAGTGACTGTTGCTTGTCATACAACATATTCGAAGTTAACTCGGGCCATTTTTCGATGGCATTGCTTCGAACAATGTAAACATGCAATAGTTGTTTACCTTGTGTATCCTCTCGGCGACCTCTGCGTACCAGGAACTGGGCCCATCGGTAGCGTCCAGGGGCTGGTTTCGGTGCCATGAGCCCCCACTGTAAGAATACTGCGAGAAGGGCCGGTACTTGCTCTTGTATTCTGTCCATCTGCGGGCATAATAATAAATAAACAGTTAGTACTTCGCTCAAGTCGCTAAATATAAAGCTTAATGCAAGTTGTAAATCTCTCAAGTGCTTCATGAAAATGACTAATTCACTTGAATGGTCCAATATCTCTTCAGACTAATATTGAGCCCCCTTCCTGCCCCTTGCCGGGGACGAATGGGTCTTTCGTGTATAAAGCGGTGGGATAACTTTTTAAATACTTTGTGAGCAAATACTGAATGAGGACAACTGAACTCCAAAGCATGTCAAGGTATTTTAGAGTTGGTGGGTTTCAGTCGTCGGCTGTTTCGTATCTAGCTGTTGTATCCGCATAAAGGCAATTAAACTTGTTTCGTGCGACTGCCAAGTGACATTTTCGAAGCAGAGCCTCGTTCTTGAATTAAGCTAGCAGTAGCAGCATTACAGACCTAAACATCGTCTGCGACCTTTCAAAGTCACCTATGACGCTATACTTTCTACTATGTCCATTCTGTGAATGACGGAGTATTTTGGGAATAACTCTTTGTCTGCCTGCCTGCCTGCCTGCTCGTGAGCCTCTAAGTTAATTTCACTCACCAAAACTAATGTAATAACAGTGATGAGACAGACATTTTGGAGATGCATTTTGCACTGCACCTATTTAAGGATCTCTTAATGGTTATAAACAAACCGTCGTAACCGCTTTGCGGGCAAAGTTAGCCCATTATTCTGGTTTCAATGGACAATCGTTTGCTCTTATTCTATCTTCACATCAACAATTTTGTGCTTGGACAGGAGGCAAGCGGTTACCTACATAGTGGGAGCTCAACTACGTCATTCTTCAGGTGCAGATAAGACCGCATGTGCATGCGTTGAGAGTTCCGAACTAGATCAATTGCATCTTCTATCGATACCTTGAGCAAGTCTCTTAATTCGTCTATATAAGTTATTGTGTATCTAACACTCTATAGAAACCAGATGTGTAGACATCAAATAAAACTGCTATAGTCATCGTCTCTGTTCTCTCCATTTCTTACTGTTTTTCCCATTTATTGAACGGTATTTTTGTAGTCAGGCCCACTGCTTTTGTTACCCCACGTTGAGCTCTAATTTCCTGTCAAACTCAGCAAAAAAACAGCTATTTTGTCTGTGGCTTAGGATAATGACAACAACGAAAAAGCGCAGGTTCAGAGCTAGCAGCTCTTGGACACGATCCAAGGACTTCAAGTATATAGCTAGTAGCTTTATTCTTGGAGAAGTTTATGTATCACCATTTCATGACAAGTTTGGGCGTACCGCCAGCTAGAAAACGACTTGGTTCAGCTTCCAGTACAGTCGGCGTAGCCTGATGCTACACTGGTGGAAATTGTTGTAAACGTAGCTAGTTAAAACTGGATTGCAAGGCAATGGCGTCAGACCGGTCTTTGTCTTGTTCGTTGCTTCTAAACACTGCCAACAAAGTTCTGTTGACGTACCATTTTTTATGATACGGTCCGTTCTTCACAAGATTTAGTGTGTCCCATTCCGGTTCGGTGGTCACATAGAATCACGCCAGCATTTGGTGATTCGCCGCGTATATAAAGGATAAAGAGGAACGAGACTAAAATCCAAGAGAAATAGCACAGAAGGCTCGTTAAATAGAAGAGCGAGCGTCATCGATCTGTTGTCTAGTCTGAACGGGCCAAACATATGTAGACCATGGGCTTCAGCATTTTCCCGAAAGGGTTCAACTAGGTCAGCCAGGGATTTCGTGTCCAGCCCCCAAGGATCAGTCGTTCCTTGTCATGACTTGTGGAGACTTGCACAGTCAAACATGTACGTATATTTTATTGAGCTATAGCAACTTACTAGCAAACAGCAAATGCAAAAAGAAGTCTGAAAATATTGTCTACTTTGTATGTAGCTTACACATTTTCTTTTCCCTCTCCCTCTCCTTCTCTATATATATATAAAATGGCATAAGTTTGTCTAAACATTTAGCTTAAATTGGAACGCCGCTTTATTTTCTACAAATTATGCATCCGGTGTACTATGATGTAAGTTTATACAAGTGCCCCATAAGTCCACAGCCAACTTGAGAATTCCGTCACACAAGGAATAGCTTAGACACGACGATTGCAACTGGAGAATCTTTCTGTGAGCGTAATAGGGCCAAGGAAGCGTATGTGTTCAACGATATAGCTCATCTTCAGGCGAGGTGCAAAAAGAGATCTTTCCCATATTTCACGCTGGAAAACTAAACTTTCTAAACCTGTAATGTCAACTGCTGACGATAGGCAGCGAGAGAAAATAGGGGCTCTATTCAGGGCTCTAAATAAGGGCAATATATATGTGCGCGTACGTTCACGCAACTCGTTGACGTCCAGTTGCTTTTGAGATAGCGCGCGCTTCTACCGATACTTTTAATCTGGGTGGGCCCGGTCTAATTTAATCTTTGGCGGAATCAATTTTTTGCTGCAGAAAAGCGAACTTTACGCAGTGTCGAACTTTGTGGAGCCGCTTGCCACGGCGCTGCAGCGGCAATTAGGGACCGTAGCGATCTATCGAAAATAAAGTGTATACATAAAAACGTGACTACCACAACATTAAATTCAGCTGTTACATTATGGCAGTCAGTGCTTAACTAAGCGACTCGCAGAGCTGTAGGATTATTTTAACATTGGTATAAATCAGTAGTAGATTTACAGTGGCATCCGCCTCGGGATGCACTGGCTTCGGGCACTTGCCTGTCTAACCATACTGCTTCTCTCGGAAATTCTAGTAGACTTAGCTTTAAGTTGTGCCGGGCCTGCTGTTAGGAAAAATCAGATCCGATAATGGCACATACTGATCAGAAACTGTGTATGAGAGTGTGTGTGTGTGTGGGTGTGTGTGTGTGTGTGTGTGTGTACACAACTAGTAATCGAAACACATTTTGCTTTGTAGTTTCTAAAGATATTTAGTCGAATGAAGTGTAGAATCTGCCACCCGAATGATTCGTCCATCGTATTTGGCTGCTTTTATATATCCTATGTAAGCTACGCGAACTATTGCAGATTAGCAGTGTGCTGGCATAGTTCTCCTTGTTCGGAACGCTGAATAAGATGTAGACATGCTTAACGTTAGAGTTATGTAGCTTGGCGTGTATTGAAATATTGTTTCTAAGACTGTGCAACTGGGTGCAAACACACAAATATAATATTACAATCTTTTGCGGAAATAATTAGGAGTAATACTTAGACACACCTCCAGGGGTCGCTGGAGGTGGGCGAATGCGGATGTTGGTTGTCCGGAGCCGGATGTGATTGCGACATGACATCGTTCATTGCGTCCCTCCCACGGAGGATATTACGTACATCGCCCATTTTCGTAGCAATAAAGTGCTACCTTTACACTGGTTCTCGCTCGCTGGGACTCTGTAACCGCAAAGAGATTTGAAACAAAGTACGTATTAGAGATAAATATTGCAAAAAGTATCGAGGTGTTTATGATCGGAGTTCATAAATGCTCTTACCCATAGGACAGAACATATCATTCTACATTTGTCAAATCCAGATTTATTTTGCAATTTCGGACCGTATCGAATTCGATCTTGGCTCTTTGTTCACAATAGCTAGCACACGACTTGGTTCGCCATGTCAGGGAAATTCCGTATTGTTGCTGGTAGAATGTTTAATCCGTAATGAAGTCACACCATGTTATAGTCAGCCCTCTCGTTTCCAGGCAACTACAGTATACGCACGAAATAACCACGGGTTATTGAAATCTATTATGTCCTATTGTGACTATATATGGCTAGGAACAGTCGGAATATATAATAGGCAGGCGTTTTTCTTGTCCTGCTTACAGTGTAATACTTTCCACTGATTTAGGTGATCCAGTCCTATGTGTCCAGTCTATGTGTTACACTGTCATCACCGTTTCGAACAGACGTTTCCAGCTTGAATTACATTAACAATACTAGCGGCAGCTGTTTTTCCTGCTACCGATGCTGCTTCTACTGCACGGGCTATTTCTAGTTTGTGTCGCAGTTCAGCCTTGCCCATTGGGATGTCCTGTGAGGCCTATAATGACAGCACGCAAAGCAAAGTGACCAATGAACGAAACCCTTCCCCGCATCGTTCAGTGTCGAAAGAAACAGCAACAGATACAAATACTGCAATGACAATGGGAGGCTATCTTGCAACTTGCTTGTTGTTAATTATCTCTCATCGTCTATATAATAACGAAATGTATTTTACAGCAAACGATAAACGGCACAGTCAGTCATCTGGCAAGGACATGTTTAATTTTTTCGTACCGACACGAACAACGATGCTAAAGGAAGAAGGCGCCAAAACGCAATCCAGCATCTCTGACTTTAGATGCCACCTAAGCAACAAGAAGCGCTTAGCAGTCTGACTGATTATAGGACAGTTGGGCTTCTAGTCTGGCAAGAAGACAAGAAATCTCTGTATTTGTTCACACTATTACAATACAATATATGCACACTGTTAAAAGGATCATGTTAAACAAGTACTGACCACATTCTATAGCTAGATGACTTTAAAGTTAGATATCTCAGATAATAGTCGGCGTCGATAAGTTGGAATTTGACAGTAGAAGATGTTTTCGATTACTTGAAAACAGAGCACCTTGAAAGTGAGTGAAATTCCTACTAAGATTTGCTATATTTTCTAGTTTTATTACGCTAAAGTAACAAGTTATTCATAAAGAATGTGTTTCTCATTTAGTGCTGTATGTATGTATGTATGTATGAGTGCTGTTTATTGGTCATGATGCGTTATCGGAACAAAAAAAAGCCCAAAAAAATAGCTTTGTCGCTTTCGTTCTGGAAATTCGAATATGAAAAAGGTTTCCCGTAGCGGTCGACCGATTAGGGAAAAGGTTGACACAATTATTGCAGAAGCTAAGCAAAACCAACGTTGTGGCCAAGGAACTAAATATTTATCATTAAACAGTTTTGACCCATTTGAAAAAAAAGATGGCTACGAAAAAACTCAACGTTTGGGTGCCACACTAATTGGCACAAAAAAGTTACCAGATCGTAACTCCACGGAAACGTAGCGAATCGAGCCATTTCAACAGCGGTTGAACACGGATGATGGGAAGTATATCACAGACGATAACAGTAAAAAACGTGCTTCACACTCTGTGGCAAAGCCCAAACTGATGACAAAGAGAGTATCTGGCGACACTGGAAGAGAACCAAGCACTACTGTGAGCGTTTGCCGTCTGGCGAACCAATTGATTCGGACGTCCACTGCTAATAACTGATCAGAAGCCACCGAAAAACCACCGTCGTCTTCCACAATGACAATACCATATCACAAACACATTTATCCAACCGGCAAGAATTGTGAAGATATTCAAATTTCAATGCATTCTCTATACAGCCCAAATCTTGCTTCATCAGCCCATTTAGTCTCAATAAAGCAATGTAAAAATCAGTTATTTCAGTACTTCGCCCAGAAACCGCAGAAGATCCTCAGTAGTGGGATTATTCCATTAGCAGAAAAATGGCAGATGTTTATCGGTCAAAATAGCGCAGATTTAATTCAGCGCAGATAATAAATAAGATATTTGCCTTAATCTTGGCTTAGGGTTTCCTAGGTAAATAGTCGTCGAACATCCCAGTTCATCTACCATCTTCAATCTATAAGACATGTTATGATACCACATTACGCCGAAACAAACTTAAGTGAGCAGCTGTAGGCAAACGTTGAATTCAACACGAACGTACCACGCCGATATCCGCTTCACCTAGAATAGCCTCAGGCCCGGCTTTGCTGGCAGCTGACCACTTCGTATAGCCCCATGCTTACTTGGTACAGCCTGTCCCACTCACTCATTTTGCTTGTGATGGTAAATGTCAATGCTATCGCTGCACTCAAATCCACAAAAGCGCACTAAGGCCGCGTCTAGAAATTATACGTACTTCGATAAAAATCCTTTGTTTCATCTCACGTCAAGTGTAGTGCGCAAATGCAACAAACGGCCTATTCAAGCGTTACCGTTTCCTAGATTATTCTCCCAGAAAGCTACTAGTCTCGGGCTGTCCTCTTCGGTCTGGCGGGCCGGCTAGCCATACTCAGCAGAGGCAGCTTTTTGGATCAGCCGAACGCGAGCAAACGGGGGAAAAGGGACTGACTGCATCACTGTTACTTCGCAGGCCGGACACCAGTTCAGTAGCGCTAATCTCATTGGCTTCTGTTTTCTGCGGTCTGACATTTACACGTTTCTATGCCGTTTGTCTGTGTTGAAACCGTATCGTAATGTTTGCGCAAGTTGTTTTCTTGTTTGGTAGCACATAAGTTGCATACGACATTGTCGGTAAAGGAAATCAGTTGACGTATCAAAGAATGGGAACTACAACATTTGAGTTCATAGTATAGCGATGTATGTTGCGCGTGCCAGAGATAGTCGTCTGTGGCTACTACATTCTTGAACTACAGATGGATGCTCTACATATAAGCTCGCTTGATGGACGTTGAATCGGGCCAATAATTCTAATTAAAAATTTCTCGAACAGGTAAACAAGAGGTCTTACGTTTTTCCTCGCCCCAAGCTATGGGGTGTCATGCCACGTTAACGGTGGCGTCTACTTTTATTGACATAATCAAGTTACTAGTTGAGCATACACGGCTTGTTGCAGCCAGAATCAATCTAAAGATCATAATTATTTAGACATCGTGCAATCAGTATTTATGTGCAATATGCGCAGGGTGTACGTGACACAGCCGTTAGTCAGTGGGCTAAAAAGACGCGACGTTCGGTTGATGGGCAGGCAGACGGATCCTTGTTTTTGTTCATTTTGTATTTTGTATGAGTTCGTTTGAGGCAGCCTCTGTATCTAGAATCCAGCAGAAAGGCACCAGCAGCCCACAGGGGACCTATTAAGTTTCCTGAGCAACCCTCGCCAGTAAATGAATGAAGAGAGAACAGTCAGACGAAACCCTCCTTAGTTCTAACTCGGTCGTACCAGCTCCTTCCGCCGCCCTAACTGACGATGTACCTTGCCTGCAAATAGGTCCATTGACGACTATCAACAACTCCAATATCCCTTTGTTTCGGTTAATTTTTGCCGTTTTTCTGCTTTGTGTCACAGAGCTATGAAGTGCAGTTTCATGATGTACTTTTGTGTCGGCTGGCCACCTATCGCCCGTCTCAATATCCAGCCGAATGGTCGACGGCTTACATGCTGCAGTAAACTACTTCACTGAACCCGAAATGGGGCCAACAATAATAATAAAACAAGAGAAAACTTTCCGATACTGCTAATGCTGTTGCTGTGACAACCAACGTCAATGACGTAAGCTCCATTGACCTCCTGCTGCTCTCGCTGTTACTGATACTACCTATATTCTACTATAATCATCTGTCGTTAGCATCGCGGTGCGTGACAATTCGTTTATGCCACTTATCGCGGTCGTAGTGGTTTCTGCCACCATCATCTACTACTACGACCCCGCCACTGCGACTGGCCGTTCGCTCGAATGATCGTTTCGAGCCTGTCGGATAGACAAAAAAACACATTGAAAAGCTGCCTCGACGGGAACAACTATATATATATTGCGTGACTTGACATTGTTTTTGCGACAATCGATATTTCTATTATAGACCTACATTCTCATAAAACGATACATCTATTGCTACTTGTTATGTGGTTGAATGATGACGTCGTGAAAATTAGCCGTGCTGGTGGCTAGCAATTTCCCTTGTACAAACATTACTATCATTAAAGAAAATCTAGCTCACGCAGTAAATTGGCAGTGGATGAAAGGTCTATTACGTACTAAAAACAACATGTTACCACTAGCTGAGATTAGAGTTGTTAAGCGCGTAACATATATTTATGTATAGCAATGGAAACAGCGCCCATTAAATAAGGATGAAAGTGTCGGGGGCAAGCCGTACGTTACAAAGGAAGTTCAACCAGCGCAGAGATATACGTCGAAAAACATAATTAGGTACTTACATTTAGAAAATTTATCTTTGAAGGTCAACCATACACTACCCCGTTACGTTTTATTAGTGTTTTTTTTCTTTTCGAATAATCTCGCATGTTCTCGTTTAGTCTGACAAGCGACAAGCACCCGATCTACGAGGTGATCAGTAAATTCCTCAGCTTATACAAGGAGCGATGCTGCCACTGATTCAGGACAGAGCCACTGTCTCCTCCAATCGGATCCAACGAAACGGACTACTCTGTAGAGCAATATAATATAATATAATAGATCCGGCAATATGGTGCAATAGTCACGAACGAGCTGGTATCATTCAGCATGTGCTTAAACTAGATAAATCCGTTCAAACGGAACCGGCTATTTGGCGTTGGCAATTACGCTCTTTCTTCACTTGTGTATTCAGTTACCCGTAATCTAATCCACTAAATGTTTCGTCGCCAGGCAAAGTGTTTTCAAAAAATCTGCCAAAAAAGTATATGTATATTTTGTTACCGTTTTCGAAAGCCGTCTTTTTATTATCAGCTTAACCGAATCTGCTTATTTATCCTGAAAGCTCTCGAATTAATTGAGAGTTATCTATTGCCAGCTCAGCTGCATGTCTGAGTAAAAAAGTCCAAATTCTTTTATTTGGTGAGAAGATTCGTTAACGAGCACGGGTCCAGTATTTTCCTTCTTCTTAGCAGTATCTATACGGACTTCGTACTTTTTTTTAACATTAGTTCTACTATACGTATACGTACTCGACTTGAGACAGTTTGTAGGAATTGGATAACATAATCGGAAGAGCCGTACGGAAGACGGCCGCGAAGCGGAAATATAGTTTGACCCAGAAGGTAGGTTTTATTTTTCCCGTCGAGCGTAATCAACGGCAGCAATTTCAGTTTTTCATTCTTCATGTTTGAGAATAATGATTACAAGTACGTAGATGGACACCGATATCATATGCACTAATATATCATCAATTGTAAAAACATATATTTCTTTAAAAATTGTGCTAAACGAACAAGTGTGCTTAGCATATGTTGGACGGAAAGTTGCGGGTACGCTCTACGGCGGAAGAACCTATTGTGTTTTAGCCATTAGGAAATGGCTGACCCCTATAAATATAATTAGCTTTCTAACACTGCACAAGTGTAATAAGAAAGGCGTAGGTTAAGGTTATATACTTAAGGTTCACCTATTATCAACAACCCTCTACAAATATTGTTCGAATCTATCGCTTTTAACTAACAATTCGGCCTCGTAAATAGCGCAGTGGGTAATATCTGAACTTGATGATACGTGGTGGAAAAACCTCATGCTTAACAGCTTCAATATAGGACATTTTGAACTATATAGCTTAATGGTGTTTTGGTATCGTATATTGAATACATATTCTTGATTCTGTAGCGTCCTTTGCTAACGTTCAGAGAAGTTTATGAAATTCCTGGACGGAGTTTCCTCTCAAATTAGACCTTCATAACCAAGCTCCAAAATGGGAATCCATTAAAAAATTGGTAAAATCCTTAGAACTGTTTTCGAAGTAATTCCGGTACGCGTATAGATTTAACGTTTACTAGTACCGTATGATAGTTTATACGCATGCATCCAGTCGTCTATGCACGTACACACTTAAGCCAGCTGGGAATAACCACATCTCCTTCTACTGTTGGATTCCAATCACGAACTGTTTGTGTAAATGGGACAGCACACAGATATACATGGCTATTGTAGCGTATTCACGTAACGGCCTCGTCTCCTCATCTCCATTGTGTGATGGTGTTTGGTCCACTTTCCATGTTCTGTTACTACATGTTACACTATGTAAACATATTGCTTCAATTGCGGATGCACTTTCTGATATTGTAAATGCCCTACACACAAAGCATCAGAGCGCGTACAATTTCTATATCAAACCTATAGGCCTATTCTATGTTTTTATGGAACACCAAACTCAATGACATACTGCTACGTCAGCCGTGCATACGGCATCGTATATATATAAGTATTTATCATATAAAGGTACAGCATTGATAAAGTATGTATCACATGTAGATCTGAAGATGACGAAGAATTTATTTAGGCGAACGGTGTCTGTACGAAATGGTAGAAACTAGTCCTGTTACCATTACTCAGGATTATCTGCGCTTTCCGTATGTAGCATTACGCTGTTCCTGCCTTCTTTCTTCATCTATCGTCGTCATTGCTTTCTTGCCGGACGTTGTCTAGGCTTCGCCGATGCTGTTTGTATTCAGAGCAACCCGCCATCCTCATTTCCTCTCTTTTCCATCTCATTAAAAGCAACAATTTTCGGTGCCGGATCTTAATGCTCTGTCGACTGCTGATTCAGCTCGACGAATCCTAGCATGTATTCCACTCTACAATAACGGCGAAAGCTGCATGGCCATTGAAAGGTAAAGGGAATCCTGAATCGAATGGCAGAATTTCGTTGCTGCCAGTGCCGGGTTTAATCGAATCCCGTTTGAAACGGTAAGAAGAGCCCAACCGCTTACCTGGTCGCTTATTGCATTTGTGCCAACTAACTAGCTTGCCAACGAGTTGCGTTCCTAAATAATATTTTCTACAAGAAACATCCTCCAACTCAGAGAGCGGCCTTTATGCATTAAGTCTGAAACACGCAAGTAAACAATTTCGCTTTACGTCAACCATCGTCATTCGGTCTTAACAAGGCTATTTCTCTGCCATAAAAAACGTAATACAGACCTACACGTCCCAAGGCGGACCTGGAGTGGGTCGGGTAGAATGCCTTTGCGAGGTGATAATAATGGGCGAACTTACCCATGAAAAAATTTTGTGAATAATTGTCGGGAAGTATAGTTACTTTTTACTCATTTATTGGTTAAACAACAATTATCCGCTAGCTAGTCAACAATGTCCTTCATTATTTTCAGAACGTGCTTATCCTATCCTTAGAAATTATTCGTAGTAGGACTGCATTTATTAGAGGTTGGCAAGTTGTAGCTCACGTAACTTCCTAGTCTTGATTTAACGTTTCCTTATTTATATCTTTCGAGCAAAAACGCCCAACCCAAGGCACATATTCACCGACATGGACGTCCTTACCAAAGCCGTTACGGTCAGCCACAAGTCCCTAGAGAAACAGAAGCGCAGGAATGGATGGTAGAATGGGAACGGGAAAATTTCTCTCTAAGGGTTGGACTATGTTCATGATATGTCTTTCGTTAATTTGTTTTTCTAGGAATCGGGTAGGCGGCATGAGTTATGTAAAAGACGTGGCAGCTTACCGCTTCAAGGATTCTATTGCTGCCGCCCTATTCATGTCAGTGCGATAGATGCAATCCTCTTCCGGACGCGGTTCCATGGGAAACTAGGCAGTTCGCTTATGTCAGGACTACCGCGAGCGCCTGATCAATGTATGCAACATGACAAGCAATGTGACAACTTTACGTACGCACCCATTCAAATAGTCGACAGTGAAGCTCAGACGAGTTGGCGTAAGCAACAGAGCGAAAAATCAGTGTAACACCAAACGAAAATATGATTCCAGAATAATGATTTATAAGTTTATAGGCTTTTCTGATCTTCATTTCAACTTCGTATTGTAAAAGTAGTTATTTTTAGCCATGTTTTATCTATGGCTACAATTATGAATTGTTTCTGGCAAACTCCGTAGCGAATCATCTGCTAGAAATATTGTCGGTTACCCTTCTGCCACACGTATATTCTGTTACGTTGTACAATACACCACAATACCTTATACATGACAGATTAAGATAGGTGCTATACTAAATCATGCTCCTGATTTAGCATTTGAATAGCTGAACTATGTGACACATATATAATATACTATCACGTTTATCTTTAAAGACCTTTCCTAGATTGCTAACAAAGTTCTTCAAGTTCACATTACTGCAAGTTTAAATGAAAAGTTCGGCCAGATTCTAGCCTAAGAGCTCCTGGTCGAAAAGAGTTCTCGTTACTTTGTCAGAGAGTCGTCTAGCAAGTCCATTACTCAGGTTCATCATCTCCTGCCGACAATCCATGGCTTCGTTTCTCAACTGCGACCAGTTTTTCAGCTTCTGTAGTAAATCAACGATCATATCAAGTATGAGACACTCTCTTGGTGAATCGCTTGGTAGTCAGGCTTACATTCTATTGCATGACTGGCTGGAGCTGATTCCTCAATTAATATGGCTTTTAACCTGTATTGCGCAGAAGAAAAATTATCCCATGTAAAAAAAAAACGTTGATATAGTATGTTTCTATCAACGGTATAAATATTAAATAAAAATCACAAATTAAAGTAGTTTCGTTGTGCGCAGTCTTTTTATCCTTCACTCGAACCTAACTTTTAGAAAACGACACTTTATAGAAAATATCTTATTATTCTTCATATTTGATTAATTAATTGCACTTATGATAATAACGCGTTTTTTCCTACTAATTTACGCCTTCTATCAGCCAAACCTCTAAGCAATCCGAAATGACCGCTACCACTAGTTAGGAATGGTACGATTATACAATATTTTGGATATCTTCTGCTATCGAATAGAAGTTGGTGAAATTTACTTCGAAAGTTCATATACAGTTCACTTAAATCGTATTGATCTTAAACTGTATATGATCCACAATCGTCCAAGGATACATATCCTGAAGCTGAATCCATCGTGTCACAGGATAGAGGCTGAAGCTCAAATCACCAGTTGTAGTTTCGTATCGATGGCGTGAAATTTGGGGTCTGGAATTTTCTTACGATACTAATCTTGGCACAGGTGCATACTCATCGAGGTTGAAAAAAGCGCAAAAGTACATTCTGGGCTTTTCTAACGTACGCGTATTTCCTATGGTTTCGCTAAATGTTTATTAGGATTTTTTAAACTTGTTGAAATCATTTTATATATATATGGGAACGTTATACCAAATAAGAACTTCGTTTTTCTGTTGTGGTCTCGGCTATTTATCCGCAGAGGGATCGATAAACGACTGCGTTTCGAACATACGTGGAACATATGGATAACTGGATGGTGTCTGTGACAATTTTATCGAGGAGTAGAAGGAACTAAGTGGCATCGGAGTACAACGTCGGCTAAGTTTATGTATGTATATGTAAGTATGTAAAGTTAAACTGTAACTTTGTGCCACATGTCGTTCTTGTCATAAAATTAGAAACTTCGACGACAATGTGGGCCTTTGTTTCGGATTGTTCAGACAAAACAGTATTATCGAAGTATGCACCATGTTATGTATATGATTATTATGATCGTGATCGGAATTTACTATAAATAATTACTTAGGACCGAAATGACCATGATATACAGGTTTCAGTTCGATTAATATTGGCTTCGGAGAACGGTGCGTGCATCGTTGGAGCTTTTCCTCTCCTCTGGCCTAAAATGCAACCTAAGCATGCATCGGCACTTCGACCAATTCAAAACCGGCTCGACACACAGCTCAGCAGGCCTTTATATGAATCTAAAGTACCCGAATCATCATGTTTGAACTCGGCAGGAAATGATTACAAAGCACTTCTTTCGTTTTTAGCTTTGTTGATTGACTGATTTCATGGCGCGAACCATTACTGACCTACATGGTACGGCTTAAGGCCCATGTAAGCCCACCTAGTTAGGCCATATAGCCCAGTGACATATTAATTGATACCTTGTCGAAAATTGGTGAATTTCCATTTCGGCCACATAACAGAAGGATCTATAGCGAATCTATTATTGCAATTTTTTTTCTTTTCCCACCTCTCGCTATCAGCCGTCATCATTGAACTTTTCTTACCTGGCAACGTATGCCTGCATGAATTACCACTTCGAAGGTAAGATGTTCGATTTTGCCGCTTCCCTTGCCCACTATTTGCGAGCATTATTAGCTATGACGATTATCGTTAGCCAAATTAGTGGACGAAAAAAGGTAACCACGGAGTATCTTGATAAGTAGATCTACAAATGGAACACATGATAACGTTGAAATGGCAATAAGCTGACCGATTTTATTGAAATGAAAGATGTTATCCGCAAACAACTTACTATAATACTTAGATAAAATTATCATTACAGACCTGTGTACATCTATCCAAGTGGCGCATCGTCCTCTCTTTGTCACTTTGTGCCCTTTAAAGGAGGTGGGGGGGGGGGGGGAGAGGGATATATAACGCGTTATCTGAACACTTTGTTTGCTTTGTCGAAGAGGTCTCAGGCCCGAGATGATGTGTTTGTACATGAGAGACAACTGTGGTCCTGCCGCTTCAAGAGCAAAGGTTAGTATGAGGCGGTACGGATGGTAGAATCTGGCAGAAGATTACAACAAGCAGCGGTTTAAAAATTAATTCACCTCTAAAATGTGATATCTCCAGTGCAGCATAGTTGATCCGTGGATAGACTCCGTTATTGGATATACATATTTTATAAATGGTATCTCTCTAATTATGAGTAAGTGAAAATAAGTGATAAGGGCGTGCTAAAACAAAGTTATTGTATACGACACAATTACGCCCACGTGACAGTTTCAATATGGGCTCGTATTGTACACGCTCTGCGCTGTCATTTGTGTTACTGTTTTTGCTAGCCCCAACACCCTAGACACAACTGACCAAAGGCAATATACAGGATACAAATAGGAATATGTAGGATAACATAGGGTGGCAAATGTAATTTAGCGGGTACAATTTGAGCATGCCATGGGCTACCACCTTAACGCCACGGTGATCCTACGATGAAAAATATCCATGTTGATTACGCATGAAAACGAGCTCACTAAATTAGCTTTTGTTTCTTACAACCTGCTGCTATAAGCTTTAGACCATTCTGTCACTTAGGAGGTCCTGAATCGGGCTTCATATTATCGGCACGTTGATCGAGTGGCTGAAACTTTTTTTTACTGATAAACCATTCAATTTTTTCAGCAGCTAAGCAAAAATAATTTTACGGAGCCCTGGCGGAGGTCTCTGTGTGATGTATAAATTTACATAGGTTGTTACTTACTCAAACATACAATCTAAATTAGCCAGTCAGCTGATCATGTTTGTTGATATCATTGGTACTTTCGTCATATTAAGTGTTGCTCTGCCTATCAACCAAATGAACGCTGAATGAACATACCTTTTGTAAAGTTGAATATACTTGCGAAAATTGAATTTTACAGCTCATGTACAAGATCAGCGCTGTCGTTAGTGTCGTAGGCCCTGCGCCTCTTCATAAGTAACTATTCTAAAGATGCAAGGGTCGTTCCGAAACCTAGCCATGTTACACAAACGAATTAAAGAGCCCTATGTAAAATGTCCTAAACTAGCTTTCTAATTTCGAGTAGTTGTATTCAGGGTTGGTCCTGGCAAAGATAAAATATCTACCAGTTCTTAATACACCTTTAGAGTGATCTTTAGCAATAAAGCAATGGCGGCGTGAAATCTATTACCAGCCCTGGAGATAGCCTGCTGTCGAAAAGGCACTTCAGTACTTATCGTATACAATACTTCAGCTAATTCAATGTATGTACGCGAAACGTCGATGATGGCATAATTAGCGAATGGCGGAGAGCCCTCACAGCTTATTCAGTGTTCTAATATTTTTGTCTAGAGTTGTTAAAGAAAAATAGGACTTGTAAAAATTGCAGCCGTGTAGCTCAAGTTGATCACTGCCGACTGAATCAACAGAGAAACAATTTGTTTTCATTGTTGACACAATTGATATGGATTATTATTAGCACTCTTTTAATAGTAGATAGCTAAATAGAGAAATCATTTCCGCTATATAGCTACATTGTTGGTGTTTCATCTATACAAGATCGAGTAGTTCCTCACAGTCCGAAGTTCCTTTCTTCACACCTGTCCAAATTAAATACCTTATGACTGAGATGTAACTTTTCTCAAGATGTCAGGAACCTTTTGGCCTATCCTGTATACATATGTAATATGTTCAAAAACATGTTTTTGCCTTCATCAGGTAATTGCAAAAGGCAAGCAGCAGGCGAACGAGCGAGAACAGGTCCTAAATAGGCGCGCGAGTGAGCAGAGTACTTTGTGGCGGTAATTGTTGTTGATGGCAGAGACAGTGACGGGTTTCTTAACCATACGGAGAATGGGAGTGAGGAAGCAAACGATACGGTAAGAGCAGGATCACGTAACCGATTAAATCAACCATTTATACCTGCTATTTGCATGACATAAACTCGTTTCTATGTTCCCTACCTACTCGTTTCGTCGTGCATCCAAATACATCCTCAGTATTTTCAGGCACGATTGATCACAGTGAGTGTTAGCCTATATTGCTTGTTCCGTTTCCCCTCTTGTTTCTTCCGTCTGCACCTTGATCTACCCCATATTGCACCGCCGCGACTATCGGCCTTAGGTTGAAAGCCAACCTAAACTGGCTCACCCCAAACCTTGTGCAAGCCAGACTTCGTTTCCATAACTTTCCATAACTCTCGATGATTAAGGGTGTAGGGTTGCTGATCGTCGGGTAAAAGCAGAGCATGCTCTGTGCCGCTTGTCTGTTCCTTCCTTCAACCGGGCCGTATCGTCCCAGCCACCAATGGCACCAAATTTTTCCCTTTCCAGACAACTGGCGGTACCCTCGACCAAATTTTGCTATATCCTGATGTCGCGTGGCGGCACTTGCCTTTGACCTAGGATTAGTTGAGCGTGCAATGAATAGAAGCCTTTGATAGGGCCTGTATATAAATCTAGATTCGTTCCAAGCTACCCTTTGTCTAACTGGCTTGGCCACCAACCGATAGTTCGCTTTCCAATAAAATGTACTGTCTTTCTTCTTGTACAGTTTCGTCTTACTTGGAAACAACTTGGAACCTTCCAATCTCTGGGTGCTATTAAGTGCGAACCACCACCTGTTTTGTAAAAGCTTAGTCCTATCATTTCTACGTTTCCCGTCTATTCGTATATTTGCATTTCTTTATTCTTAAAAGAAGCGGAAAGGCATCGCCGTTTGCCCATAGGAGCCGGCCTTCTTTCTCTTCTTTTTGATCCAGTCGTCAACGTTGACAGCGTTCGTTTTCGTCTGAGGGCTGTTCATAGCAGTTCGGTCGAGTGTATTACGTATGCTGAATGGCCCGTAAACGGTAGAAAGGGCGTCTAAGAATTAAATGAAGAACGCATGTTATCACTTCCGGAATGGAAAACAAAGGTGGACGCAAACATCAACTACGAAACTAAAACGTAGCACCGCTTTTTCCAAATGTTCCACTCATCTGAAAAACGGTTTTCCAAGAGAGTTGTCCGAAGAGGTCACGTTGGTTTGAGTAGAAAGGCAATAAAGCTGAGACGCCCAATGTAATAACCCCAGTAATTAAGCCCAGAATAAAAACAGCAATCGACAAATGATTTTCCTTTGATGATTACTTAATTTCTCGTACGGTCCAAAAAGTGCCTGTGCTGTCTATTACGAAGGAGCCAAGTACGATTTTGTAGTAACAGGTTTAATTGTACAGACAATTACAGGGTAAAGATTACCGCGCGCGACCATCTTTAAATCGTTCTTACGGACCTAAAATCCCATTTTGTTTAACTACGTATAACCGAGCAGAACATAAGTTCCTTATACGAATATTCTTAGAAAAGTACATATCTCTGCAACTATCTGTGTATATAGTACAGAACTAGATTGTTCAGACCAGAATCAGTTACTGGCCACCGAGCAATAGGCATAATTGGCCTCCTCAGATGTTTCCACATAGGATCTACTTGCTGTCGTCGCGCACAATTCTAGGCACGTCACTTCCTGTCGACTAGCGTCTATATTGGTAACTGGCTTCTTCGTGGTTACCTAGAGCTTACATATGTGTGCATAAATGTATCTCCTTCTCTCTCTCTCTATCACTATATATATATCGTATCTTATACAAATAGGGCACGGGTCTGTCATTCGTTCGGTCACCATCTTCTTCGTTTTGCCGCTAACCGGCTGTTGTGGGTCCATCCTAGAGTACCATATATATATTCCAGAAGCTACCGCAGTAGAAAGAAGCGCTAGTAGCGTTGCTGCTGGATAGCGCTGAACTGGTGTTTATCATCCGTATTTTTCAGTTTTGGCTTTGCCTCAGCCAAGCAGACGATAAACCTTTTTCCCTACCATTTTGCCTCTGAAGATGCTGCTGTTCGATAGAACGACCTTTTTGTTTAGCTTCTTTCGTTCTCGCTCTGTGGTTCCGCGTCCCAGTTTATGCGAAATGAAACTAAAGACAAGGAGTGCATTTCCTTTTTACGCCCACCCGCAAATAGACCTCCGTTTAGTTTAAGATGATCTGGTACTATTCGCCAAAATCTCACCGTCCTACCTGATTATAACCCTTGCGGACAGAGTGACCTGGCTATTAGGTGCCTACGAAAAAATAATTCATATGCAATTATGGTGTACCTATTGAAAAAGGGTCAAAGAACAATAATGTAGAGTAGGCGGATAACTCTATTTAATATGTTTAAAGAACTATAGAATAGCATAAAGATGACTTGATCATTGACTATAGCAATGACCTGTTTGTGTTTTGTATTCTTGATGCTGGTTTTTTCATTGTTCAGTCGTAGTCTAGTTGGTCATTCTTTGAAGTTCTTTGAGTTCTTCAAGGCTGCACAGATCATTTCATATACAGAGTAACTTATACAGAGTAACGGTGTTACCTTACAAAAAAGCGGGTCGGTTCGCTTTTTTAAACTCTGCCATATCAATCGGCAAAATCTCTATTTGCTTTTTTTTTTTTGAAAGCGATGGTCGTTTACGTTACAATCTCTCTACACAAGCTGTTAATATAGCTATGAATGCGAACTGCTTTCTTCAGTATGATCTAAGCCACCTCTTTATATGCTGATCATTACCAGTCGTATTACTTCTAGACACGCTCGCAGATGGTGCGTGACGCTTTTCGCTGCGTCCACGTATACCAGTCAGCATCTAAGTATTGATTAAAAAGCAGAAGTTTGTTGAGAAGCTACGGGACTCTGGCCGTTCTTGTCTTAATTTAGGTTACGTTTTTAGCCAAAGCTATTCAGTCGACCTGTTTGTGCACAGCATATATTATCTGTCAGCTATCCATAAATACGAAATGTTAAAAACAGAAATAAACGTACGCTAGTGATCTCGATCAAATCGAAGAAGTAATTCGAATAGGACAAGAATAAGTAATAGAATGAAGGAGAACTTGAATAGTCGAAAACGTTCTGCTAAAAAACAGTACTCTGTGTCAGCAGTCATATTTTTGCACCCCATCGGGCGTTCAGAAATCAGTCGTACTGTACATTAGTTACAAGCTTGTGTTGCACAAACTCGTCGCCCTATTTGAATTTCGCGCCCTATTATATTCGTGTATTCGAATATTTGTTTTGTTCGATTCAGACGATACAGTTTTATTCTCTCCTTCCTCTCTTTCCCCTACTATAACGTCATAAAACCCAGTGAGAAAGAGAAGGAGGGGGAAAAATATCGTTCGAGAAAGGCAATAGGTTGGTGCCTTGTTCAGGGCTGCGGTGAAATGAGCGAAAAAGATACACGACGCGATACCTGTTCTTGAATCTGTAAGAGATTTACTAAACGAAGCCCGGCTACTTTCCTAACGCGACCCGACATAGGTGATAGGGCGACTTAAGTTAAACGCATACAGCAAAACACAAACAACAGGACGGCAGCATTTGTGCATATAGCATTATAGCTGGTAGCTTTGGCAAGTGTTGTACTGGTCTGCATTTCATAACGAGGCATCAAGTCAGTACAGTTGCTGTTACCTGATTGTCGGGGAAAGGAAGACGCACTTGCCTGCGCGCCAGATACTTGTAACTTGTAAATTGTTGTTTAGTTTGGTGACGCGCAGCGGAGCCAAGTGTGCCAGTTTAGCTTTACGGCTCGCTGCTCCTCTAACGGCGTTTGCAATGACCGAACTTCAGCTCAGTCAAGCTGACAGACAAACGACGGTTGGATCTAGTTCGTAAGCGAGCCACGCGTGCTGTTGGTGACTTCGGCAGCATTTGCCATATAACAGCAAGTACCGGAGCAGCGTCCGTACTGTTATACTATTATTGCCATTTCGACCAAGTTACTATAGGACGTGAGGGCTTGTGACAGTGGGCCAGCGGGGTTGCCGCCGCCGCCGCCGTCTAGCCCCACACCACCTGCCGTTACCGCTGTATGTTATCCATTGTGCCATTAACCTCATTGATGCTTCTTTTCTTTCACGCTACCATCTCTCCACCATTGTGATTAGCCACTATCACCACCCTCTTCGAGCAGATGACGAGACAACGACATTCTAAGCGCGCGTTGGTCGGTATGTATAGCTCTGAGTTCTGTGGTTTTAACCGCGGCGATGACCGCAAAGATGAGCGGTCGTGATGAGGGTGGAAAAACGATCTGGAAGAGGACAACAATGCACTAAAGCTCAATGCTTCAACAGCTAGCCAGCCAATCATTCAGCCTATAAAGCAGACCAAAGGCAAAAAACGAGAGTCTAGACATTCAACCGTAATTTACGCGTACGCGTATTCATTGTCTGCCTGGTACGACATCGACCATAACTGTAGTCGTATAGAGAAACGGGGTCGAAAAGGTTAGCGATTCTCAGCGGCTATGCCAGTGTCCATATTCCGTCTAGCGTCAACCTCAGCCATACATTAAGCTGGCCATCTCTAAAGCCGTTCGCCGATTTTTTTAAACGGCCAGGTGAACATGTGTAATGTGCCAGCAGGAGAGAGGGGAGGGGGAGGGGGAGGAACTTCAATTGTCACAGGTTAAATCATATCTGTTAGTAATGAAGGATTGCTTGCACTTCGTACCGACATTTATCTACCACTGACTGATGATAGATCGTAAAGCTATCAACGGGACAATTAATCATTGAAGGTATTGAAGACATTGTGCTTTATTTGTGCAAGTTTTACTCCAATTTACATTGATAGGACTTGAAGATCGGTTCTGTTTGTTCACCTGGTCAATAAGTTTGGTGAAACTTTATGCCGAAAGTTCAACCTTTTCGCTAGGAGCTCTGCGACCATGAATCTATCTAGCGGGAACAGGATCGACCTGACTGAAAATGTGCGGGGACAATAGTTTGTCTGAGCCAGTCGCTAAAGCTAAAACGTCAACGAACAATATTTAGGACGATTTA